GCATGAAAGGCGGCCGCGTAGTAGGCTGCCTTTAAACTCTGCCCGGGGCTCAGACACTGGAGACAACAACACCCTTTGGCCGGGCCAGGACATCAGACCCGAACCAGACCAGGACCTTCAGGAAAGCGAGCAAAGAGAGCGGGGTGGCGGTGGTGCAGAGCAAACTCAATAAGTCGCATAAAAGAATGAAATTGGATGCCATCGCAAACAAACACAAACGATGCCGACAATGTGTTCTCTGCCAGATCCTTCGGCATCTCCGGCCGCAGACTCCCTCCAACTGCTGGAATTCCTTTGAGCCGTGCGGCAACTGCGTCGTCATCCTCCCAATGCCCCTACTACTCCAGCTCCAGCTATCTGCGCTTTGGCTTTCAAGTTTAATTAATTGCGACACGGATTCTGCGTGGGCGTGTCCCGATCGCAGAAGGCTTTCTTCTACTTCTCGTTTGAAAAGAGCTTCTAATGAGGGTTAATTGAAAGCGGCAAACTTCTGTGGAGATTTTGGTTTACTCCCTGCACCCGCGAGCCCTCCTTGTGCTTAGTCAACTGTCCTGCCTTCAATTAGAAATGAGACGCAATTTACCAAAATATTGAACTATATAAGAGGTGAGCTCGAAAGTTTTATAAAGTGAAAGCCTTTAGATTTACTTAAGATTTATCTTTGAAACATATCTTTGATTACATCCCTTTTTAAAGGGAAATATCAGAATGGTATTATTTCCATGAATTTCCATATGCAATTTTTACACCCTCCTCCCTGACTTTTTGTTTAACCCCATCCCCGTGTCACCCAAATTGGCTTTCTCATATCAAGTGCTTAAAAGTTTCCCTGAAGTTTCCTTTTGTTTTAGTTGACAGTTGATCAAAATACATTTTAATAAACGGCAGATGTGTAACCCAGGAGGCATACAAGCACAAGCCCAGACCCTGCCTAAATATAATATAAGCCCGGGAGTTCCGGGATAGGACAACCCCCTATCCTCGTCTGCCCTTTGTGACCTGACATTTATTTACCCTTGCGGTGGCTTTGTTTTTCCCGTGGTTCGTTTCCTCCCCCTCCCTTATTACTGTTGTTATGCCAAGGTGGCATAATGTGTTAATTGCTTTGCCCACACCCACCCTACTCCCTACAACCACCCCTCCGCCCACGCTCACGGCACTTGAGGGCAGCTGTCGCTGGAGAACGATGCATATTTCATTGCCATTTAATTATATTGACGGGAGTGCTTAAAAAACGAGAAATGCAAATGTTCATTAACTGCTCTGGGCACACTGGTCGAAGGGACACAAATCAGGACAAGTGCCTAATAAATGGCCTTAAAAGACCCGGCCACTCCCCGAAAATCCCCAATGAGAGTAACGGGGAGGTCCTGGAGGGACCTCTGCATGACAATAAGTTAAATAAGTTTGAAAGCTTTTCCGCCCTCCCCATTTCAGACGCCCAGTGGGACCAGCCTACTTAAGCATTCAATGGCTTTATTCATTCGATTTGATGACCCGCACAGGACACTCACGTTGCCGAATGATGGAGATGAACGAGCTTGTTTGGCAGTCGGGCCAGCGATCGTTTTCATTATTAGATTTGTATAGGATTTCATGGGGCTGGGGGCAAGGAGCGGGTCTAAACAAATGAACCTAATATGCATTATTATTATGGCATGTGAAAACGAAAGCGTTTACTAAGGAGTTTTCGGGATGGAAAGGGGGCAGGGGAGCAGGGGTAGTTGTCGATAAAACGGTCATGCAAGCAAACGAATGCCAAAGTTGAAGTAAATATTCAATAAAAAATAATCGAAGCAGAAACCAGAACGGAGCACCCAACGAAATGAGCATAAAAATGTGGAAATGTCGAGGGGTAAATCCGAATTCAAGCTCCGGCTCAAATCCAAAGGCGAGGGCAAAGACGCAGCCCAAGTGGAATGCAATAAAAATCTATTTTATTTGTTAGTGAAATGACATTTTTATTTGTTTGCTGTTTATGCACATCCACTCTCGCACAGGGATATGCGAGTATGTATGTGTATGTAAGGAACGCTTTGGGCTGTCTGTGTCACGTCACACATGTCGTATGAGCAATATATGCAGATAAATAAACTATTACACAGGATTATTATTTGCTTTGGCGCAGGATATTTTGACAGGTTTACGATATTTAATCATTTGACTATGCAAAATAATTGACACAAACTTTTGCCTCTTTGTTTATTTTTGCTGCTAATAAAACCAATAAAAACGGTCGTTGCACATGGAAAAGTAGTCATGTTTATTTGCCTAACTAAACCAAGACATGCATTGGTTCTTCCTTTGCAGTCATCAACAAAGATACATATATCTTCATCGATATATCTCAACCCCATCTGGGTACGATTCTCAGCGCTCGGCCATGGCAAATTAAGTTTTAATTAAACTCTTTTGGCCCCCGGTTTAATGCGGCGTATGATTGAGTCGACTGGCGGCTTTAACCCTTGACTGAGTGCCAGACAACCCTCCCGGAGGAGGACGAGAAGACCACACTCAGCCCTGTCAGCCAGTAATCCAAACAAAAGTAATTGTCATCTCGCAGGACATATGTTGCGGCTCTCAGGGTCCCTGTGGGTTTTTTTTGGGGTAGCGATATGTATCGCCACGGTAAGTGTTAATGATCGTCTAGCAGTGTTTTTTTGGGCGTTAATCTGCCGTTTAATTTGGTGGCTTAATGCGTTTTGTTTTGGTTACCATCACCGATAATCCCCGAGCTTAAAGGGCTCAAACCCTTGTTTAATGGTTCCCGTTGCTGTCTGCTTTAGTTGTTGTCTTTGGGCCAATGCTAGACCACAAAATGACACAATTTCAATTTTGAACTTGCATTCAAACTATGCCCTCGTCTGTCATCGTATATTGCCATTTAAACAACAATCAAACAAGCCACAGAGAAATTCATTCCATTGCCATACACAAAATGCAAAATCCAATCAAACTTTTTAAACAAACATTTAACAAATCTATTACAATGCAATGACAGCAACCAAAAAGAAACCGACGAAAAGTGGGCGACCAAAGCAAAACCCTGAAATGAACTCATCTAAACGAGAAATTCTATTTGGTGGATGGCTGACTGGTTTTTGCAAAGAAACAACTCAGTCAACTTTGGTTACATTTCCCTTCTTTCCGTTTTTTTTTTCTTTTACCAGCCTATGTGGTGTAGCTGTGTGTATGTGGGTGTGTGTGCGAGCAAACTTAATCAAAACAAATTTCCACCTTCAACGAGTTGCACACCAAGCAATTTCCCAGGCCCAGTCAAAGAGCAGAAAAAAAAAAAAAAATAAAAATAGCAGGAAGCAAAGGAGTAAAAACGATAACTAGAACTTCATGCAAACTAACCGCAAATACGATTACAAACACACAGGATCAGGATGGGGATGGCGACCCCACTAAATCGAAAAAACTAGTCAAAGGGTTGGAGAGCCAGAGCTCGTTTTGGTTCCTGCTGGCATAATTTGAATTCGTGTCAATTTGACAAAGTGACACATGAGGGCCAGGCCCAGAAGGAGAAATTTTTATGCGATTTCGCTTCATTACTTTTGTATTCCGTTTGTGCGGCTGACTGCCATGGCCTGGCTATAGATACAGATACAGATACAGATACACCTATAAATACATACGGTATTTTCGGTATTTGTTTATTTATTTATGCCCCGTGTTGTGTTGGAGACGCCGACGACAGTGTCGCCAACTCTGGGTCTCTGGCTGTGGGCACGATAATGTTTAGTCAATAAAAATGATTTGTCGGCTGAGGAAACGAAACGAAATCGTGAAATTTGATATGTCCTTTGCATTTATCGGAGTGGGAGGTCTTTGCCACCACCCTACAGTTTACCCCACCTCTGAGTTTGCGGTTGGAAAACTATGCTAATTGCCTGGTCCAACCTAGAGCTTACAGCAGCCTGAAGTTATAGTTTTTCTAAGTAAAATAGGACTTTATGAAACCTTTTATCGTAGAAATATGTTTATTGGAAAGATATAAGCTCTTAAAATATTCTTAACAAAATCAAAGCCATTCTCAGTTTTACTTAAAAGACATGGAAAAAAGGAAATCCCTCTATCTCGGAAAACGTTTTGCTTTTACAACACCCTCTGTTGTTGCCCATCGATAGTTTTTCTTGGTTAAGCGTATTTTATGCTACACCGCTGTGAATGGAATTTACGAGGCGCCCTGCCCGTTCACGTCACAATTTGCCACCCGAAACGAATGGCTGCCAGACATGGCATCCCGCCATATCGCCACATTGCCACTGAGGCAGTGTCTCCGAGCATAAAAGCGCATAGTCGCATAAAATGCATAATTCTCTCCGAGGAAGAAAAGCAAACTTATTGAATGGGCCACAGGCCAACTTGAGAACTCTTTCGGCGTTGTCATTCCGCTATTGAGACATAAATTGTTCCCTGCACTCGGAGCCAAGTTATGCGCAAAGTTTGACATTATTATTGCCCTTAAGGGGGTAAATCAAAACGCCTGGTTAGGGAAAGGAAAAATCATAAATGAATGACTAAAAGAGTTATGGTAAAATAAAGGTAGTTAATTCGAGTTCAATTTTATTCGGCAATGTATTGATCAGACTTCGAGAAACTAAGTAGAGAACAGACAATGTTGCTCAATTATTCCCAATTGAGGTCCAAGTCAATCAAATTATGCAAATATCTAGTTCTCCTTTCATTAAGGATCCTCCGGCCATAAATCCCTGCCAGCTTTTCCATACGTACGAGTATACAGGCATATCTAGCACCTTGCATTCACAGGAGCCTTAGATGCAAGGGGATGATAGAAGGCGGGTACAACTTAATTTCGTTAAAATAAATAGCAAACGGAAATTATTTAATTTCCGGAGCCTGGCTGGCGGTTACTCCAGCTGCAGACACGTTGATTGCACAATTAGCTGAGGCTCGGGTGTAAATCAATCCCAGACACAGGAGATACCAGAAATACAGGGGAACTGAACTGGCTTGGACAGGAGTTGACTCACCTGGACGCGGACTTCGGGCAGGTTCACCTTCATGGCCAGCTCCTCGCGGGAATAGACATCCGGGTAGTGCGACTTCTCAAATGCCCTCTCAAGCTCGTGCAGTTGGTAGGTGGTGAAGGTGGTGCGGTTACGTCTATGTTTCTTCTTGGCGCAGTTATCATCTTGACCTAAAAGTACAGATACAACGATAAGATGAGATTCAAGAGGATGTTCAGAACTGCAAGTTATAAAGAATAATCTCTACTTACCCTCATCATCGCTGCCGGATGTTATCTTCTCGCCCTGCTCGCTGCTGTTGGTCTGGTTGAGATCCTCGCTGGAGGCGCAGCTGCCGTTGACCAAACTGTCGTTGTCCGCATTTAAGTCGCTCGCCATGATCGCCTGAATTGCTGTTGCCGTTGGGATTTCCATTGCTGCTGTTGCGAAAGTCATGCTGGAATCCCTGCTGCTGTTGCTGTTGCAGTTGCTGCTGCTGCTGGTGGTGCGATTGCTGTTGTTGCTGTTGATGATGAACCTCCTCTAAGCTGCGGGCCCGAATGCCATAATTGCCTCCTGGCAACTGACCGTTGGCTAATTTCGGCTCATTATCATCACAGAAGACGCCGGCAGACTTGCGCTTGGCGGCCAGCGGACCACGTGGCGCCGGAGTGGGCGGCGAGGTCACGTCGAGCTGCAGCTTTGTCCCCGTCATCGTCGTCCTCATCCAGATCGCTGGCGGAGGACATTGAACGCTCGTCGTAGCCAATCTGCGACTGGGCGACAGGCGCCGTCTGAGATTCCATGAAGTAGGCACCAGGCGGCGGAGGAGGACCCGCTCCACTGGGCGATGACTTGGCATATTTGCCGTGCTGATTCTGCTGACTCTGCTGCTCCTGCGCTGCCTGAGCAGCCAAGGCGGCAAGATGCTGCTGATGACTGCCAAAGGAGCTGGGTGGCAGCGGGGTCGGCGGAGCAGGTCCAGAGGCTCCGGGCTGCAATTGATTGGCCTCGACCATCTGGTGCATCGAGTTGAGGTAATTGCCCGCCGCCTCCTCCTGGTGCCCATACCCATGTCCCTGGCCAAAGCCAAAGGCATTATGATAGCCAAAGGGTGCATGTCCATGATGCGGTGGATGGTTGGGATGTGTCGGGTGACCTGGCTGCCCGCCTATCTGCTGTCCATGATGCAGGGGCGTAGCATTTGGTGCTTGGGCTTGCTGACCACCCGGCGGAGTTGGGGGTCCGTAGGGCAAGCCAACTCCATTCTTCGCGTGTTGCTGCAGCATGCTGGCCATGTGATTGTCCATGCTGCGCAGCTGAGTCAGGGTCATGCCACAGCGCAGATCCGTGGCGTCCTCGTCGGCCAAGGAGGGATCAATAGAGCCTGAAATTGGATAAAGGTTTGAGGATAAGATGAGGAGGGTTCAAAGAAAATACGACTGAGGAAAGGATAAGAGTATGACTAAGACCAAATCAATTAGCCCAGCCTATATATAGAAACCAGAAGCACTAGCATTAAGTGTGTAATTAATTGAGCATGATCAATTGCTAATAAAATGTAATGAGCTTCGGGTTTCCTTTCCCCATTCGCCCACGCATTTAGGCACCTGATTAGATTTTAATTAGTATGCCCAATGAGGCGGGAAGCGCAGTCATAAAGCTGTTTGCCAACTTACTGGCTAAAAGCCTTGAACAGGCAGGCTAATAACAGAGTGTTACCTAATTTGGTGGTGGTTGAAGGAGGCGGCAAATGGAAGGCTTCGACCTGCAGCGGGTCAAACCTGTTGGCCGCCCACCCACTAATAAAAGGCTTTCAATTATACGCCTGGTATTTACAATGTGAGGCAATAAAAATTCTCTGGAAACAGAGCCGGAGTCCAGAGATCCGCGGGGTGAAGAGCTCCAGATGAGGCGGGTGGTATTGGTCCCTAATGGGCGTTCCAAACTAGCGCTTGTGCATATCACGTGACATGCAAGGAAGTCATTAGTTGTCGAAGCGCCAGGGCCAGGCTTTTTATATTAGGTTTAGGTTTCAGCGGGCTTTTGCGAGTCTCAGTAGTTTTGGGCTGGATTTTGTGTAACCGAATTCAATTTCTATGTTAAATTGACTTTCGGGGCGGACCTCAGATTCGAAACAAAACCAATTACCCAGTCAGACTGGGAAGTTGCTACTCGAGAATATCTGTAATTATTTGATAGTCTTTTGGATAATTACTTTTCGACGTAACTCTGTTACCGTCGCAGACCGTTTCGTTATGTCGATTGTCTAATGTAATTATGCGCCACATCGCTCCGATTCGACTCAGTTCGATTAATTGGGTCAACATTTTGGCTAATTAACTTTAAACAGCAGCCAAACGAAGATTGTAAATGCCCCGAATTAACCTCTGCAAGCGTTTTCACCAATCAATCGAAATTTACACGCCCAGCATGCGTTTTACTGTGAGCCACTGTGGTGCTAATGAAATTAACAACGAAAATTCGTTTTGAAAGCCTCTGCAAATGAAGTAGCACAAAAGACTCCGCAATACGATTATTTGAATGTGAGCCACATGAGGCGATAGACAGTAGCCAACAGTCCTCTTCCCTTCGAGTAGACCCCTCCATCCATCGAAGTCCGTCCACGGAAAATACCGCTGAGTTGCCACACGTAGTGCGTGAGTTAATTGCGTGAGCATCGAAAAATAAAAGGTTAAAACAAAAGTTTTTCTGCCAATCTAGGGAGGTGGGGGGTGCTTTTCCTAAGCAATTGGCCAAAGTGTGAATGATGTGATGGATATATATGGTAGGGAATATGTTATTTCGTTTCATAAATCAAGACCTTATGTGACATAAATCAATGTAGTGGAAGGAATGTCCTTTTTTTCTATAGAAACAGTTTGGCTTAATGTCATAAAGAACTTCTGGTTAAGAGATAACTTACGATTGCATAATAATAGATAGATCTTTTAGATACATATGGTAGATTTTACATTGGTATGATCCCCAAATGAGGTAATTTAAATATTAAAGACAAACTTCTAAATAATAATAGATTCTAAACCTTCTAAGCTGTCCATAAGTTCCCAAAACAAGCCAAAAACCCAGCTGAGATCCAAGTTTCCTAATGGTGAATGAACCACGCTTAAAGCCACTTCCCATTCACTCAGGTTCGATGGCTTGATCGACCAAGTTGGCTATTCATTCAGAGCTAGCCACGTTAAGAAATGATCGACACATCAATTAAGAAATGATTTCCGTGCGCTCTCCATTAGCCTGGCAATTCAAGTTGTCGGTTGTTAACGCAATGAAATTTGATTATGAATTTCAAAGAACGTCTATAAAAACCTGAATTTGTGGATGCTAAAAAGGTTCAGATGGCTACCGAGAAAGTCTGTCTTGGAGAGATGCTAGACTACGATTAGAATGTATCCTTATTTTGCTCTAATTTGACTCGTGTTTCCGATGAATCCAGCCCAATGTGAGGGACAAATTGACGTTAATCGCGTCACTTCTCCGTTGCCCATGCCGCATGCCCCCTGCCCATGTCTAATCCTAATGATGATTTGACAGTTTCCCATTGTTGGCCCAATACTTGGCCATTAGGCGGCCTAATTGATATGTTATTAGCCGCAGCAGAGTGTTTCTAAAAGTCATGGAGAGAACAGGTAGGGCCGACTGAAAGGAAATGCACATTTCGGCTGATTTCTTGTCCGCCGGAAGATCTTTGCAGCCAGATGAGATGCGATATCGGATTCATATCAAAAAACGAAACAAGCCATAAACAAAACTGTCAATCACAAGTGCTTGTTGGGGATTGAGCTGGTATGGGGGTTCCATATTCCATAAAAAGTGGTAGAAGCCACAAAAGCGGCTAATAAGACGACGCCGACGCACAGACACGCATTAAAATCATTAAGACGCCTTAATGCTCAATTTAATGCCGCGTCAACTGCTTAACAGATCTCGTGTAGAAGGGGATCACTTCGGGCCAGAGCTTCTCCCTGTCTCTTTCCCACCGCTTTGGCCCCTCTCTTTCGCTCTTTCTTTTTAGCTTATCTTGATCTTAACGTTGCAAGATGCAAGTTTGTTTCGCTTCTTGGCCAAATGCACTTGTGCCTCCTGCGCCTTTTAATGATTGTTTACATCTCACTCTCAATCTTGCCTCTCTCTCTCTCTCTCTTCGCAGCACTCTACTTGTCTCTCTCTCTGTGCTGTGGGACGCCACCGTTGCCGCCAGCTGTCAGTTTAAATGCTTTTTGACGGCTTGTGTCTGGCCGCCAGTTTAATTATGGCTTAAATGCGAAACGCTGCGAGCTTGCCTTGTAGCAGAGCCCCCTTATAACCTCCTCGCCTCTCCCTTTGACTTACCCACCCCCTCTAATTAGCCTGTTTCTAATTAATTTGCGGCCATTTAACCTGTGCTATCTTGTTGTTGTTGCTGCCGCTCAGCGCCATTTTGATTTGCTCTTGATGTTGTTGTTGTCAATTTGCCTGTCACGTTGTTGTTGTTGTTATCGACTGTACCAGCTCTTTATAGATGTATATAGATATATAGATATAGATGGAGCCTCCATTGTTGGAGGTGTCTGTTTGGAGCGTTTATGAGGCCACTTAATTGAATTAATTGTTTATGTACTTGCTGCTAATTGTTTTTGGCCGAAAGGTGTGTGAGTTGAAAGCTGCTGAATTGGCAATTTAAACAATTTCTAATTGCTTTTGTTAATTAGGGAATGAGAAATTAGAAATAATGCGGAGATAGATTAGGAAATGTTTGTCATTAAAATGGAAATGAGAGGATATATCAATGGGATTGGCAGTTAAGGGAGGGAATATCAGTAGGTTTCACTTCATTAAATTAAGTTTATATAGTTTATTATATTTCTACACTTCTATCTTCTAAAAACCTAACCTTTACGAATCTAAAGTCTATACCAGTCCCCCACCTTAATGCCAATGGCAACTCCTTAATTTCTCACCTCGCCACATGGATGATCCGAGGACTCAAGGCTCTGGAGTTATGCACATAACCATAATCGTAAAAATATCAATGCCCACCCTTTTTTCGCAACTTGCTGCCAATTTTGTGGCCTAGAGGGCGGTGGGCGATGGGCGTGGTTGAGACGCGAGAGCGACAATCGCTTGCCGGCAATCAAAACAGAAGCGAAATGAATTATAAATGACGTGCAGAAGACTATTTTTGGCACCCACCTGATGGGGAGGAGCCGTCGCCAGCTGGCACCACAAATCCCCACTATAATCCAGTTAAAAAGCCTTCAAAAGTATTCACTCCCCGCTCAGCTAATAGAACTTTAAATTGGCCAACGAAAAGCGAAGATGGGGGAGTGCTTCTAATCCCATCTCAATGTATGACTTCCTTGCTGGGCTTCGTTTCGTTTTCTTGGCTAGCGATTACCGCTGACTGATTGCTTATCAGCTGTCGTGGATCTCGAGGCGTTGCCAAAGTGCAAGTCCCGACGCCACCACCCACAGAAAGCCACCCAAAAGCCAACCACCCCCTCCTGACAAGGCTAATACAATTTTGCGATTGTGTTTGTTGATTCCATGGGCTGCTAGTGGGTAATTGAAATCGATTTGCCTTTTTTATGACAGGGCCCAACGATCACGGCTAATGGGCAAATAATGTTCTGGGTTCTTTGCCAGGACTTATGACTTACCATCGATGACCGTTTCCGCACTTCGGCCATTTCCATTGCCATTTCCTGTGCCATTGCGGTTCTTTAGGCCCAGAATGGCATCGATTGTATGGCGCGGCGTTAGCGTCTGTCCACCCGATCCGAATTTCCTGGCATTATCCTTCAGCAAGTCGTTGCTATCTGTGGGGGAAAACAAAAAAAAAATGGAAACAGAACCTGAATTAAAAGCCTGTTTGCCAACAGTTTGCCAAAGTCAATTAGGCGCACGTCAGCCCTGCGACTCTATGCAAATTTGTCAGCAATTTCGAAAGTATTAAAATTTAGTCCAGTCCCACATACACACAACTTTATTTGCGATTTTAACGAGCTAAAAGCTGTAATTGCGACCAGGACTCCTGGACTGGATGGCCTCTACCTCCGATTCCCTCCGCCTCAATGCTAGCCCCCTCAAATAAAATGGCCAGTTGTCACGACGGCATGCTGGAAAGTAGGCAACATGTTGCCTGATGGCTTTATGCATTTTTAACGAAATTAAAACAAACTGTGCCAAGTGGCGAGTGGCGAGTGGCGAAAAGCGGAAAGTGCAGCGGGTAAATCCCTTTAATTGCCTCGTCTTGCAATTAGCTTTTTAATTTTTCTCTCAAATTTTCCGCTGTGCATGTTAATGCACTAAAAAACATCGCTGTGAACACGCACACATTCAGGCATTCACTTACTCATGTCGCCAGAACGGGATGGCGAGATCAGTCCGGAATGTCCGTGTCCGGCAGCAATTTGTGTTAATTAAATCTATAATCAAACAATTGCTAGCCTTTTCCGGTTAAGGCCACCCATAAAAAACAATGGAATTTAAAGTCTTAAAAAGCAGAGGTAAATGTGTTTATCAAAAAAGTGAGAGAAGTCTCTTGGACTTTAAGAAAGAATATATACCTCCAAAAGCTTTAGAGTTTTTATTGCAATTATATTCTATATTTGAATTTTTAAATAATTTTATAGATATTTTAACTCAATTAGATAACCATGTCAAAAATAACTTTATATTCTTTCCTGAACTTGCAGGGTTATTAGAAGATAATTAAGATATTATTTTGAACTTTAGAGTTTCTTTCTATGCTCAAAGAATTTTATAATCCTCTCAAAACTAAGCCCTTAGAACGCCAAGAAAAAACATACTATCAGCACTAGAAATAATCTTGAATAAAAAATAAACCTAAATTTCGTATCTTTTCCAAACCGATCCCTTACTATCTTTCAACTACCACAGAGGGTATCACGAATTTGCCGTCGGAATGGCAGCTCACCTTCCGTTGAGATCACAGTGTTGTTGTTGGCCAAATGAGCGGCATAGTGCTCGTGGAACTGCTCCAGATTCTTGAACTTCTCCACGATCATCTGCAGATTCTTGGCATCCCTCACATTGCCCAGCAGGTGACGCAGGTGCTCCAGTTGCTTGGGTGGCAGCTTGTGGTTGCCGCCGCCCTGCTGCACCAGCTGCTCGAAGATGTGCTGGAATGTGGCGGCGGTGTTGTTGGTCGCAACAGAGGGGTTGGCCAATCCGGCGGGACCACTCGTTCCGCCGGAGATCGTTCCCGGTTTCCCGGCTGGTGATCCTGGCTGACCAGGAGCCACATCGTGGGCGGGCGGCGTCGAGGCTTTGATATCCATTCGATACGGGATGCAAAAGTACTTTGAACGGCAATGATATGATTGATCACAGTTGGGGCACTAACACACACACACTAATTGTATTTGATTCGATCTCTGAACTTTCTTCACTTTTCCTCTGGCTAAATGTCAAGCATTTTTCAGTCACAAGCGGGAAAACTTTAGCTCGGAAAATATCAAGTATCAACTACCAACAAACTACCGAAACCGTTGCGCACCGGGCCAAGGCAGAGTTGGCAATAAACTCGAAACTCGAAAACAGCGACTGAGGCCCGCTGACGGCTCGAGTTTCCAAATCGAATTGGAAACCGGTTGAGCTCACCACATCTATATATACACAGTGTTCCTGTGTGTGTGCCTTAGGGGGCGGAGCCATAGTGAGAGAGGATTCGAGAGCAGGAGAGAGTGCGAAGGATTCGCGGGGTGGCAAATGCGCTCTCCTCCAGCACGGGACAGGACATACTTCCTATACTTCCTTGCGATCCGGAGGCCAGAGTGTAACAATGGGCTTTCAGCTGGCCCCGACTCCTGCCAAGTGGTTTGTTTGTCGGCTTCGTAATAAAATAAACTAACTGCACTTACTGCCCTTCGCCCAGATGTTCTGGAAGGGGAATGCCGTGCTGAGTCCTTGCACTTTTCCGCCCCGGAATTATGACTTTGGTGCCACAGATTTTTCGACCACAATTGCATCGGAAAACCATTTTGGGCTTAGGCCACAAAGTGTGCGTCTCGCCTCTCTATGCCTCTCTCTCACTCTCCATCTGTTGGCACTTCCCTCTCGCTCTATGGATTCTCCCAAGGAGCGTGAAACCTAAAACGGATACATAAGTGGATTTTGTTAATATCCTGCTATTGTTACAAATTTGCAAGCTGATTGCGGCAAAGCGGCAATTGTCAGGGAAATAAACTTAGAGCCATTCGCCAAAGAGCTGGGAATTCATTGGTCCTGGATTTATCCTTAATGAGTTACCTTAGTAGGCCTATAAATCATTAGGAACATTATTGTGAAATATAATAATTATAGTTAAGTTTCATATTTTGAACTGAAATTCATTGCTAATTAGATTGGTTTTGGTTTAAAAATTGTATCTTTTGGGAACTCTTTCTCTAAATAAAGGTTTTTCGATTGAAAAAGCCATATTTTGTTCTTAGGAGATCTCGTTTGTTTATTTCTCTCACAATAACATTGAAAAGATTATGTCATTTGACTGTAATTCTGTTCTTTATCGGTAGATTGTTATTATATCAATGATAGAATACAAAATCATATTAAATATTTTGGAAAAAGAATAGTAAGTCTTCTTTGGATACATATTGTAAAAAAATAAATTTATATATTATTCTAAATCCTTTAAAGTTTTTAAAAAGTATAATCAAGTTGCTCTTGAAAACCTGTTTGGAGTTTGCTCATTACAATTTGCTAAAAACGAATTGGCCATTGGTGAAGGTGAGTCCGATGGAAGCCCACAGCCCAGCCTCTCCCACTTCCGACACTTGATTGTCAGCCGGGTAATAGACGCAGTCAGCCAGTTCAGCGGGCCATTAAGCGTGGCCAATACCATTACCATTTACATTTAGCCGGCATCTCGCAGCTTACCTGTTGTCATGAGTTGTGGTTTTTCCCCAGAGCTCTCGACCATTTCATTTCAGTCCAGTTCATTCAGTTTCTCTTTTGGCTTCGGTTCAATTTGCCCCGTTTACGCTATCTTCCATTACACGTTAAATGAAAATGCCAGATAACCAGCCAACCCATTTTCCCCCATTTTCCACCCATTTGCCTCCATTTCCCGCCCGCCCTCTGACATTTTGGTTTGGACCCTCCTTTTGGCCCAGCGATTCGATTTGTGCCAACTAATGAGCTCTTAATGCGCGTTTATTCTTACGCATAACGAGCTTGCCAAACGTAATTACGTCCTAGGGATGTGTCGTGTGAGTGAGTGGGGTGAGGGCAAGTTCTGTTCTCTCTTATCCTTGCTGTCAGTGTGTGTGTGTGTGTATATCTGTGAGAGGCTGCCATGTTGGCGCGCTGCTTAATTGAAGTGGAGCGACAGACGGACAAACTGTATCTCGGGTATATCCTTTTGCTCGATGCCAGTGTGTGTGTGTGTGTGTGTGTATCCACTTATCCTTTTCATTTACGCCACATCCGCAACGTTAACTCGCTGCTCACTTCTCGCAGCCACTCCTCAACCTTTCGCCGCTTCCCCCTTTTTTGTTTTAAATTAATTTGCTTTTAATTTGCTTTATTATGTGGCAATTTCTCCTCCTTTTCGCCGGATTTAATTAGTTTGCTTTTATCGTTAAGCAGTTAATGGTGACTTTCTGATGAAGAGAAGTGAAATTTTCATAATTTTGGCCAGATTAAGCATACGCCATGTGGGCAGGGGTAGCAGATAATTGAAGGTTATGGGTTTGGCATAGCTGATAACTGATCTATCCCTCTGACAGATGTGGCCGAGCTGCACTTAGGTGAATCCTCTTATCAGAAGAATACCCTCTAAAATCAAAATAATACTGCGCATGCGTAAGAGTCTTAAAAAAAGCGAAGGGGATTCTGCTGATGAAATGAAGAACCAGTTTGTTGGGCTGCCCGTTTTTTTCTTCTCATAATTCCCATTCGAGTTCTAACTCTCTTTTAGCTGTGGGCGTGGCCTAAACCAGTCACTCTCTCTCTCTCTCTCTCCCTCTCTTCATAATGTCTTTGTGTACGTGAGCGCTTCGGCGCATTGAGCATACCCATACAAACACAGATGAGACACACGAACATGCCTTGTGGTAGACCATTGAAAAAGTGATGAAAATAACTCTCTGTCACTTTATTGGCGCTTAACGAGTTTGAGTTGATGAAGAATTTAATTTATGATGCTGCTCACACCATCAAGAAAAGCGAGCAGCCCCGAAAGAGATGGCAATAGGACGGGAAAAAGAGAGGGAGGTAGCCCGAAAACCGCAGAGCACAAGAGGCGGAGAAAGAGAGGGGAAAAAAGAAGAAAAATTAATGAACTCGTAACTGTCGCTTTTGCAAATTGGGCTCTGAGAGTGTGCGAGTGTCGGTGTGTGCATGCATGTGTGTGTGTGTGTGAGCAGGACTCACACTCACACTACTTTACGCTAACACACATACACATACATACATAGATAGGAGGAAACAGCAGCCGTCGCTGCCGGCAGACGTCAAGCTTTGATGATTTAATTTTCTGGTCTTCTAATTTAATTTTATTATAGAAATACAGACATGTGTGTATGTGTGTGTGTGTGTGTGTGAGTGAGTCTGAGGGAGAGCCTTTAACTTGTGTATGAGTGTGAGTGCACCTCACACCCTCACAGACACACATGCAAATTCGTTAATGGAAAATGGTGGCGTTTAATTGAAAAAGGAAGTGCGCCAAAGGGCTGAGCGACAGAGACGGGAGAAAGGAAAGGAAGAAGGGCTCTGCAAGGACCGAGTTTTCCATCAAATTAATTTCATGTGTGCAACTGTCTCGTTCTCTCACTCACTCGCCGTCCCTTTCGGTTCAGACGCGGCTTTTACATCTTGTTATTGTTCGTTTTTTCTGCCCATTTTATAATATTTTTTCTGTGCTGCTCTTAGTGCGGTTACTGTTGCAATAACAATTTTCAATTAAATTTATTTGTTTGCATTCACAGAAAAAAAAAGAAGGAAAACCGAAAAGGAAAGAGAGAGCTCTGTTCAGTTTGTTCACCCGCAAAGTTAATTGAATTAAATATTCCAGCGAGATAATTACAAAATGGCGTTGATTAATCGTCAGCCGCCATATTGATTTTGCCAGCAACAATATTTAATGATTAACAATTAACATTGAACAGGGATTTTTGATGCAGACACTGGCAGCCGGGCCACGTCAACCTCTTTGTGCCTTAATAAAACCAATTAAAATTCATTAGCTGCAAACACACACACACAAACCCACCACACACATATAGCAGGAAGGACCCCCACAATCACACACTAATGCCATCATGCGCTCGTTTTCTCAATTATTCATTCAATTTTGCTTGCCACAAAAGCAAGAGCCAAGGAAGCTTAGCACTCTCTTAACCATCACCCATAACCCAGCCTCTACCATCCACATCCACCATCCAAAAGGATCTGGAAAGCATCCTCCATACATATTCATGCGGCTAAATGAAAACGGCAACACTTAAATGCAATTTGCCTCAATTTTACCAGCAGCCAACTCTCTCCCCGCCGCCCCACTGAACTTCCCACAGAAAGGAGCGAACGAGCGTCTTGGCTTAGAGCGTCTTAACGTCTTTTCATGGCACTTACATCGTCATTCTATTCGTCTAATTTCATTTTCTTGCACAAACTGAAAGCGTGGGACGTAGAAGGATGGCCCGGGTTCCTTTTGCCCAAACTGGCTTCGGTTTATTCAGCTACTAGAGCAGTCGGATTCTGGCAGACTGCTTGCTTTATTCTAATTACATTCAATTAAACATGTTGATTGATATGTTTGTTCTGCTGTGAATGCTTCGATGGAGTTAACGATTTCGATGGGGAAGCTGGCTAAATCATGCCCTCAATTGTTTGGGTTTTGTTTGGGTTCTGGCTGTCTAACCAAGGGATTGAAGGAAGAAGTTAGATTTAAGTAAGCTTAAACTTTTAAGTTAGCAGTTAAACAATACTTAAAGAGTGTATTAAAAAGCCTAATATTTTGTATTAATTATGATTTTATTTTGCGATACTTTTAAAATATTCAGCTTATTCACTTTAAAAAGTTTCTAAAATGCCGGTCGTCTACTTTGACAGGTAAATAGATTTTCAAACTTATTAAGTGCATATTATTTGCATTTTAGTGTTTCATTTTCATCTAATTTAACATAAATAAACGAGCAACCTTCCACACGAGGCGTAATTATTGCCATTCTGGGAAAAATTGCATTAATTTTCTAACAAACATTTTCATATTAATTGAACATTTTGTGTGCAATCAATTTGCATATCAAGCATTAATAAATGGAATTATCCGTTTTTAATTGCATTCCTCAGACAAAAGTTTTAGTTTTTGGCCGAAAAATAAATTGTTTTGTTCAACGTGGGCAATGGAAATGGCGGCCAAGCCCGAAACACGAAAAACGAAAAGCGCGACCGAAAAATTAAGCTTTATTTGTGGAAATTGCAATTCAATTAAGTTTTCAAAACATGCAAATTGCGAATGGGCGCACAGCACAAATATTGACAAGGCTCAGAGCAACAAAAACAAATATAACAACAGAGCCGAGCGAAACTTGTTTGTATAATTTCATTAGCGTTGATTTGCAGCAAATGCAATTGCAGTAAAATTCACTTGGCCTGCCATTGATTAAACAAGTCGACGTTGGAGGCATCAAATCGAATTGGATCCGGCCAGAGACATCCGGGGCCCCATTTCGGGAATAAAAACTAATTACAGGCCAACAACATGGCCCAAGCGACGGCATGGTCGAAAATGTCCATCTATGGTTAGGCGCCAACTGATAATTATAAGCCTGGAAACTGGGACTCTGATTGCCAAGCAGCAGCTGTAATGAAGGCAGTGGTGGAGAGAGGTTGGACAGTTGGGCAGTTGGAGAGGGGAACACAGGGACATGAACAGGAGATGAGGGTGCGTCGCCGCAGGAGGCCCGAAAACCCAATCCCATGCAAGTCCCATTCCCATTTCCATTCCCCAGTACCGTTGCCAATCTCAATACCAATCCCAATCCGAGGGCAAACATGTCCGCAACAGTTTCCGCTGCACTAACGAAATTACAGACGCAGACTCACACGCACACACTCACATCGACGTATCCTGCGGCGATTGTGCGCTCAGGCTGCGGAACAGGCTCAGGACCTCAGGACTTTGGAACCCTGCAACTGCTAATGCTAATGCTAATGCTCTTTGAACGACTAATTAGTGAATTACTATATAAGCAAACTATTTGCCCAGCAAACGGCATTGCAAAGCAAATTGTGCGGAAGACTGGCCAGGACACCGAATCAGAAATAGAGCGGAAACCAGGACCAATTAGACTGAGCTTGGCAGCAAACGTAGTCCTGGTTTGCCCACTCAAAGGGTGAATGTACTCTGCACTGGGATTGATAATGCGATTTCATCGAGTGTTTGCTATCTGAACAAATGCACTTACTATTGCGATAATTGTTATCGAGTTAGTTGATGTTGCTTACTGGCAATATTGTCTGTAGTTATGAGCTTTGGTCTAGAAAAAAGTTTTGAATATCTCTCCCGACTCCGTTATGCCTTTTCTAGTACTAATTTAATCATCAGAAACAGAAAATCTTATTTAAGCTTAAAAATATAATCAAAAATATAACAATAATGATCAACAATAAGTACTTCCTCCATTAATTACTAACTTTGGTAGCGATTAAGGTAAACCGTTCGATCATCGAGCGGCTGAACGGGTCGGGCATTGGAGGCGATCCTGGCTCCCCGTCTGTCTCTCAACTGCCTGAACTCGTTCAGCTGGCGTTCACTAATGCCCAAGGGTGCTGGGTGCAGAAACCACTCCGCTCCCCGGTGGCACGGAGGTTCGGTCAGAGATCCTTTGTAGCTGTAGAACTTGTCGTAGAAGGCCGGCATCAGGTAACTCAGTGGGAAAGGTGGGACTTCCACCACCTGACCCGCCTCCTGAACAGCCACAAGATGCTGAATCAGGACATTTAGGAACGGATTGTCATTGGAGAAATCAAACATGTAGGAAATCATGAGGATGCCCTGGCTGGAGGAGCAGCCATCACCATCGGCATCTGTGTGGAGGCACTGCATCTCCAGAGGACTGTGCATATGGTCAAATGTATGCTCCGAGCCGGATGAGCTGGTCCAGCTCCAGCGAAAAGAGATCTCCCGGAAGTCAAAGCGACCAAGAAGATCCCCACCATCGATGGAGGGTGTTCGTCCAGGAAATGCAGCTCGTAGGATCAGTGTGTGGCCGTTGTTCTCCAGACGAATTCCCAGAGGCATATCATTGTAGTGGGACCATATCAAGGGGGTATCGAAGTAGTTGATTTCTCAAAGAATTCCGCTCTATATTGATGGGACTCTGATTGTTGCAAGGAGTATCCCAGGTATGAGGACCCCTGTCCCATCCGTAGTTGTAGGATTCAGGGGAAACGCGAATCCTGCAGGTCAAATCACTAGAGGAGCCTCCCATATAATCTTCTCCAGCACCGTCTCCGTCATCTGATCTTTCTTCCGCATCCCCTAGTCTTTCGTCACAACTATTAGCCAAGGCAAATGCCGTATAAACGTGAAACAAGACCAGTAAGGCCACAATGAATGCCAGGATCAGCTTGAGAAGATTGCTGTCCTGCAGTCGGCAGGATAGGTCATCCAGATAGCACCAAAAGAGATTCGACAGACCACTGCTTTGGCATCCGCTCATCTCAACAATTGCAAAACAAAGTCCTCTCAAGCTAACTTAGAGAAAAATATTAACTCTATTGGATGACAGCCAGGTACTGGCCTTCCTGGTTCAGCTCGGAAAATTGAGAAAATTTCTAATTAAACCCGCTGAAAAGTTAATTATTTTGGAAAACAAATTGGGCGCGCAGCAATTTTGTGCGAAAACATTTGCAATTTGTTTGCATTTGTACTTTGCATAAATTAATTACGCACAAAACTCTCTTCTGCGGCGGAAATTGCTTGCACAAATATCCTGTGCCGCTGCTGCGTGGAAGGACGCCCCCTCCAGCCGGCCCCTCCATCCGGCCCCTCCCTCAACCCTTCTATGTTGCATTTTGGGAAATTAATTAGTTTTGTATGTACAAAATAGGCGAAATGAGCACTAGGAGCCAAACGGAAATTATTTCCAGCACTACAACACCTTTTGTACCGCGGCAGGACAACTACACAGGGAAAGAGGACTTAAGCGGTGATTTTAGTTAAAAATTCAACACTCTCATACTTGGCACGTCATATACAAAATGTGCTCGAAAAACATAATTTTCCATAGTGTAAGCCCCTGATTGACATTTGGCTTATGAAATTTGAGACTTCTCGGCCATCTCTGATTAGCATAAAGTTAGCAAAAGCCAGCCACGCCCACAGTTCTGTTCTGGGGTCTAAGGGGTGGGTTCCCACTGCGATTCAATTATGACATTTTTCTGATCAATTCGTTTGGCTTTGATTTGATTTCATTTTCCTGCACTTGTGCAGGGCGTTGACGTCTGCCAAATGTTACAAATTGTCCGTGCCCTGGCCGCTCCAGGACCTCCTCCTCATTCTCTCATCATCTGTCGAGTGTCCGGGTGGTATTCCCAGTATCCGTGGTATACATGGACATGAACATGTCCCGGGGCATGCGAGCTGCACGCAAATTGACGGGTAAGCATGTGGCATAAACGGAAACACTAACATCGTTAGGCGAGTCCTGCCAGAGGGTGCCAAAATAACAAAATACGAAAATAACGTAATAACAATCATAACCATTTTTGAGTTACCAAGCCTCGAGGCAGTTGTTTTCATTTGTGACCGAATTACTCGATTTTTATGGTCGCTTAGGGTTAATTGAGGCTGCAGACTCACTTCCAGGGGTTGCTTGACACGTTACACAATGTTTGTTTTGGTTACAAGGTTTTTATAACAGCTATTAGGACTCCATTTAAGTGGTCAGAATTGGTGATTGAACGACTTTTGCAAATCCCTGCTAGGCTGTGATTATACTAATTTTTAATAAACGTTTTTTCAAACTTCAGCTTAATCCTAAATTAAACATAAATTAAAAGTTAATATGAGTTTTCCAATCTTTTGGTGAAGACAAAAGACCTTAAATTAAAGCATTATTTATTATTGACCAACCATAGATTCGTCCTTGCACTTTACTTGGCAGCAGAACACAGATAAAAACTGCAACGACTGCATCTGCAACTGTGTCGCTAACAAACATGCAAAGGAAATTTCCTTTTCCGCTCGGGGAAACTTTGTTAAAGCGACGCGAAAGCGGAGCCAAGGGAAAACGCGACTCCCTGCAGGATAATGCAAACGGAATTGGTCTCATTTTGAATTCGATTGATTTGTCTGCTGCTCGGCTCGATAATATCCTCTTAAATCACTTAACCACATTTGCCGATTACTGCGAGGACAAACTGAAGAAGAATGTCCTTGGCAGTCGAGCGAGCGCAGCGGGAGCCTTCGGTGTAAATTCGGTGTAAATTTTCACACATTATTCGGATGCCCGGACAAGGACGAGACAATTACTGGGCTCCGATAACATTGTCTAGTGGGATTTTCTCGTCAGCTCAGCAGCCATCTCTTTTGCACACAGCTGATAATGTTAATATGCGCCGCAGGACATCAAACACGGCACAGGCGAGGGATCAGGACGAGGTATTGAGGGCACTCAACTTTGTTTGGCCAATCCGCTTAGGCTTTTGTATTACAGCCAGCTCTGGAATAGTTTCCATATAGGGTCAGGATTATCCTTCGTAGTGTGTAATTGTTAAGTGAACAGCGCCTGTAAGAGTGTCTTCTCTTCTGAAACCGCAAAAACATTCTTCAAGATCGTTTTGCGGCCATGTTGCCACTGTATTTCTTCTGTCTCACTCTCTCTCTCTCTCTCTCTCCCTGCTCCTCAGCTGCCTGCGAATGTGATCCTGATCCTTATCGCAGCATGCGTCCTTTCACTACTCCTGCGTTGTTTTCACAGCCTCCAGCCACAGTTGCCCTCATTAGCAGCTTAGGGGCGTTGACGTGTTTTGCTTTGCTTGTTGACAATGTTTGCTACTTGCCCGGCTGAATAGTGTCCTTGTTTCAGCCTGAAAGACACTTCTTTCAAAAGCGTGCACTTCCCTTCCGCCTTTGTTGCCTTCCCGAGGAGGAACAAGCGGTTCCTGCCAGACCGATCCATTAAATAATAGTATCATTGGCATTTGCAGGAACCGAAGAACGCCTTCAGGAACCAGAGGGATGGAAAGCGGTCGGGGGTTGCATTATGGAAGCAGATCGGGAGATTGCTATCGATCGTCAGCTAATTTTGATCGCTATCGAATGGTCTATTTAATGGTTCGGCTCTTGGTACGTGTAATTGATGTTATTGGGACCTGTACCGTTTGAATTGATTTTCTGAATAGTTTTAGGATATTTTGAATGAGAACATATTTGAGATAGTTACAGCTTAGAAACTGTAACATATCACGGCTCTCTGTTGTCAAAAGGCGTATACTTAATCAGTTTTTTGGCCATAGCACAGCTAAAAATGGTCCAAATATGGAATGTAATACCTCGTAGGACTCGTATTTTGATTGCTTTGATTTCCAATTGATTTGCATTCAAATCAGAGAAACTTTAATTTTTGGCCATTTTTTCAAATTTTTATGATGGTACCCCTTATCAAAAATGCGAAAATGGCCAAAAAATGTAGTTTCTGAAATCGATCGGATAAGGACATAACTTGTAAGTTTGGGTCATTCGGTGCACAAAACAGTCGTTCTTTTAGTTTTGCGCGTGGTTTTGGCCAAGTTATAGCTACAAAACCAGAAATAATAATGCAAATTTCTGTATAAAATAGTTATTCTGATTGTACGCCCATGGAATCAGCACTCGGACCAAAAAACTAAAACAATAATGTTAAAAGTAATTAAATGGGTCCTAAGTTTCGGTAGTCAGCTGTGTAAAACAGTCGCCGTTTTAGCCGTGCGTCTTGTTTGCCCAAAGTTAGATCTTAGAAACTGCAACAAAATCGGACTCTCTGCTCTTAAAAAAGGTATACTTGATTTTGGGCCCAAAAAAACAGGTTTTTACCCATAGCACAGTCAAAAGTGGTTCAAATATGGAATGTAATACCTCGTAGAGTTCGTAATTTGATTGACATGATTCTCAATCAAGTTTGATTCGAGTCTGGGAAACTTCATTTTTTTCAATTTTTTCACAAATTTTGATGATGGTACCCCTTATCAAAAATGCGAAAATTTGCCAAAAAATTAAGGTTTCGAAATCGATCGGACAAGGACATTTCTTGCAATTTCGGATCGTAAGCTGCCCAAAACAGTCGTTCTTATGGCTGTAAGTTTTTTTTTGACCGAGCTAGAGCTAAAAAGCCGCAAAAAATAAAGCAAATTTCTGTCAAGAATAGGTTTTTTGACTTATTAGTCATTAAATCAGCACTCTCCCCAACAAAATCAGAACAATACTGTTAAAAGTAGGTAAAAGGGTTACAAGTTTTGGTTGTTTGCTCCATAAAAAAGTCATTGTTTTAGCCGTGCGTCTTGTTTCGACAAAAGTAGAGCTAAGAAACGGCAACAAAACCGAAATCTCTGCTGTCAAAAGACGTATACTTGATTTTGAATCAGTTTTTTTTGCCATAGCACAGCTAAAAATGGTCCAAATATGGAATGTAATACCTCGTAGGGTTCGTAATTTGATTGACATGATTCTCAATCAAGTTTGATTCGAATCTGGGAAACTTAAATTTTTTCCATTTTTCACAAATTTTGATGATGGTACCCCTTATCAAAAAAAATTGGCCCAAAAATGGATATTTCAATATCAACCTGAAATTGATAGGGTGGTTAGTTTTTGTCATTAGCTGCACAAAAATGTCTTTTCTGCCGCTCTACGCCTTGTTTTGATCAATTTATTAGCGTAAGGCTAGGAAGAATAGAACAAATTTTGTTCAATAATCTATATCCTGTATTTTGCTACATAAGGAGAGTATTGTTACCGCAACCATTCGTTTGGAATTATTCCGCTTCGTAAACGGCTTTATAGTTCTTACCAACTTTCATAGATGGCGCTGTGACGTCAAATAGCGCTGCACTGCGTGTAAAAAAACCTGTAAATATGTAAAATTGACATTTGAAGGGCAAACCACTCAAAAGCTTACCAATGTACTTAAAACCAACTAACTGGTTCATAACTTTGCTAATGCAATTAAGAACCGCAGGATTATCAATTAAAATAATGACAAGCGCTCGTACTTTTCAATTTTTATACCATAACACCAAGTAATATAATATAATAAATGGTATAAAGATGGGCCATTTCAAATTCGTATTTTTAGAGCCTTTGGATAAAAATTATTTGTACATTTCTTCTACATTCACATTCAAAAGTATTTAATGATAATTTAATTTGAAATGCAATTTAATTTTATAGTTTAAAGCGGACTTAGTTGTAAACAATATGCCAACTTTCTATACAACTTAAACCTTAGAATGCCAAACAAAAAACAAAGGAAAACCCCAAAACCGACAAATGTTAAGCAAGAATAATGCGTTACACGAAACTGCACTAAGCTCAACATTTTCGGTTTTACGCTGCTCAGAGTTTTTTTTTCGTATTTATCTATCTTTTATGCGCCTCCTTGCAGCGGGAATCAAGTGAAAGGCGGTGACAAAAGGATGTTTCGGAGGAGCAAACTTTGAACGGCACTCGCTTTTTGTCAGTCAAGGAGGCCAGAAACCTTTTTGGCCTAGACAAATTACCACCGGGTTCTCCAGCGGAGCCATCAGTCAGAGTCGAGAAACAGTAAAAATCTCTTTGGGCTCCGGACACACACACACATAGCCACACATAGGAGAAGAGAGATAGGAGAAAGGGCTACAAAAAATGGACTCCATCCTGTATATGTATGCCCATGCTAATTAGGCCTGTCCTGGGAGATTTCCAACTGGACCTGGGCCAATTAAATGCTTAAGCTGACTTTCGGGTTCGAGCTTGTCATAAATTTTGACTGATTATGCGTATTCGTCTTTGTCGTTGCCCTTTGTTTCTCCTTCCAAAGCTCCAAGGGCCCCATCTCGTCCTTCGACACAAGTACTCGTGACAACTGAAGAAATTTCTGCGGCAACAAAACCCAACCTCCCAAGTGTCCGACGCAATTCATCATTCAATTAAATTGACCGCAAAGAGCCGCATTTCACATCGCTCCGTTCGTCGACTTCGCCTTGGGTTAAGTTTTTAAAGTTGCCCAAAGTCGAATCCTTTAATGCGCTGCCAGCGTTTTCTGCAATCGATTATCCTTTCAATAAAAGCCGCGGCCCGAAAAAATAACTTTTACCCCCTGCCCGCAAATTTCGGGGATATCTTTTGAGGTTGATTTATGCGCTGGCTTAAAAGCGAATTGTTGTGAGCTGCTAACTGGAAATCTGTTTGACTGCACGTACTTGTTGGCCCTCCACACATAGCCCTCTTACCCAAACGCCCCTTCCTTCTGCGGGGCTTAAGCGATTGGCAAACAAAGTCAAAGAAGCGTTGTGCATGTTGGAGAAATCCTTTGCATTTGAGCTGCGTTTTTTGCCAGGCTTCTTGGTATGCCGGTCCAGGCATCTCAAGGATTTCGTCGCTGTCCTAGTCACAGTCACTACTCGCTTCTAGGATTTGGCCAAAGTGATTTACGGCCTGCTCATGCCGAGCATTCAAAATTCGGTCTAATTGAGACTCCTTGGCTGATTAGCCCATGGCTAATATGATGAAATTCAACTACTCTACGTAAAAAATATATTTTGTTTTCTATGAATTTATTTTCTTTTTGCCTCAGATGTCAGTTTTGTATGCTGAAAACGCCTTTGATTAATTAACACACTCCAACTTTTTATATTTGCTTTTTGGGGGAAAAAAAATAAATGAAAAATGATGCAGAAGCTCTAATAAGTGAATCCAACACCGAATTGAGATGTTATCACGATTTATTCGGCTTGTTTACTTTATACTCCACTAACCGGAAAATTCCGGTTGAAGGTTTATGGCTTAACCCTTTGATTTGGTTAACGATTTGTAAATACCTAAGCTAACGGGCAAAGTTTATTTATTTGCATTTCCTAGCTCTTAAATTTTTAAAAATATTTTTCATAACAATCGAAGCAAACGTTATACTAGTGGCAGTGCTCTATTTCTGCAAATCATTTAAAGATAGTTTTAAAAATCATGTTCCTCTGTTACTCACTTTCTACCATTCAACGGTATAAGAAACATAAATAAGGAAAAAGATTAACATTTTCCCAATTTACTTTGAATAATAATGCAAAATGCCGTAGAAGATTATCGTTAAGCTTAAAAAAGTTTCATTAAAACTTAAATTGGAACCCTAACTTATTTTGCTAAAATAAATATAAAAATGTATGTATAAGTTTTTAGTTTTATATTTATTTTGTTATTCCTTAAAACTATATATTTATGAATTCCAAATGAATAAATGCCACGAACGTCATAAAATGACCACAACAAAATGTCCACAGAGTACACATGCTGTGTGTCTGTGCATTCTTCTGGTGGTTTTAATTTTTACTTTGAGTTTTTAATTAACGCCCTCGAGTCAACTTTAAATGTGTGGGCCGAAGAAGGGGCAACGCTATATTGTAGTCATCGAAGGGATGGATGGTAGAGAGGCAAGAGCGACGACACCGAATGGGTGGAGATCCTTTGAATCGCGTGGTTGCCATGACAAGTTCTCATTTAGCCAGGCATTCCGTTGTCTGGCTAATTCAACGTTTGTGCAGCATGCAAAATATTATCAAAATTCCGGCGAATGTCGGAGGGACTTCCCCTCGGAAACAGAAACTAATAAACGACAACAGGTGAAGCTGTTGGCTGACACGTGGCATCTCCGCTGAAAAAGAATCTAATGGCAATTTTCGGGGAGTGGACTTTCGGCAATAACTGTGTGTGGAAAGCGCAGGTTGCCAAAGCGACCAGCTGTGGAGTATAGTTGAAGTTTTGGGGGGACATCGAGCTGGATGTGGCATCGATGGTGCGTTTATCGATAGGATCGAAGGACCTGTTATCGCAGAGGGCGCCAAAAAGAGCTATCGTTCTGGGGCCATAAGCCCCCGAACGCTCTCATTCGTCGGTTAAAAATGAGGGTGTGGCCTATTCTACGCACAGTTAGTATACCCGACCCGCTCTGGCAACCACTGCTTATGGCCAGCAAGAGCGAGTCAGCATGCTGGCCTGGAAAGCAAGATGGCAGTGGGCCTAGGTAGTTGTCTCTTTCCCGTAACCATCGCGGTCTTTGTACACTTTTTTCCTTTTGTGATTTTTGCAAATCAATGCGGGAGATAAACCCGCAGGCAGAGATAACGCTCGACTTACCCGTCAATTGGGCGAGGGGGTGGCGATTGAATCCGGCGCCAGTGCGCAGTCGTTGTTGTCGAAGCTATCAGGTCCCGGAGTCAATTCGCTTTGATTTTTTCGCACTGCCCTCAAATGCAAGCCAGTCCGCCTAGGCAGCGCTACGTTTCCGGCGTACCGCTCCGTTCCGATACGATCCCATTCGATTCGATTCGCACCGATTCGAACCGATCCGTTTCCGTTTCAGTTTCCGGCAAGTCAGTGCTAAAAAGCCGTCGCAACACAGAGACTCCGTCAAACCAAATTGATCAAACTGAGAATAACTAATAAATAATACAGTGAAAATGTGCCAACTATTAATTAAACAGTAAAAACAAGGACGAGCGACCACACCCGGAGGTGTGAGGAAAGCCGTGTCCTTCGACGGACAGTGTCCGGCTGTCAGTTGGTCAAACAGTTCATCAATAAACGATTCGACGACTTCCGTTTCATTGCGTGTCCTTTACCTGTGTGGCATGTCTGTGCACGTCTGCGTGTCTGTGTGTGTGTGCTGGCTGTGCGTGTGAGTGTGCTAGCTGAGGAAACTTTGCAACTTCCGGCCAAGTGACTTCGATTTAATTTCTTTGGCTTTTTTATGGTCAAGGCATTTAATTAATTTTACTATGGCAATTTGATCGTCTGCTGGCCTGAACTCTGACCCCTAACCCCTAAAAGTGTGGCACACACAAAACAAGGAGGCGGCAAAAAGGAACATCCGAAGGAGGAGGAGGAGTAGCCAGGTGAGTCCTTGGCCAAATGAGCAATAAAAGTCAATGCTAATACCCACACAATCGAACTTTGGCAGAAGTTTCTGCGGTTAAGGAAAGTGAAACGGATTTAGTTTTCAAGTAAAACGCACATTTCTAGAATTAGCCGAACAACTGGATATCTGACAAGGGTCAAAGTTTAAGAAAAGGATAAGGGAAATATGCACATGTTAAAATAAATTAGTATTCTTAAAAGTGTTGCTGATTAGACATCATCAAACATTGAAACATAATAGTTAATCAGTAAGAAGACTATCTTTCTTTCGTAAAAGAACAAAACTCTTTAGTTGCCAGTTTAGTTGGACCAAAACTAAAACTTACCATAAAAGAGTAAGAAAAACTAATCAGTTACTTTGATTTTCCCGTTTACTTTCAGCCACACCCATTTCCACCGAACAATTGAGATGTAATTTACACCGCAGGTGAACTTGAACTTCAACGTTCTGTGATAGACGAGTATACGAGCAGCCAATCCCCATTGGGATTCTGCCCCCCAAAAACCAAAACCGATTCTCGGATTCAATCAAATTGAATCCCGAATCAGAAAGCGAATCGAAGGTGATCTTAACTCTTGGATCGGCTTTTAGAAACAGCGACAAACTGTCGACTCTGTCGATACGCAACTTCTCGGCAAACATGCTGAACAATCTTGGGGCCAATGTGCTGGGTAAGTTTTCATTCATTCCCCCCCTCTCAAGATGCAGAGGGGGCTGCGTATAATATTGTAATTAAGATCGGCAAGTGAATTGCGCTAATATATAATAATGTGTGTATTAATCCATCCAATCCGGCTGGCTGGCCATAATTAAACTAATTTCTTGAGCACACCTACAAGCCCGGGGGTAGTTAGTCGTACTTCCGATCTTCCGATTGCCATCTCCGATGTCTGCTAAATGGCCTATAATTGAGGCGTCTAACCAGATGGCGCCAGGTGTCGCGTGCATTTAGCAATAATTAAGTTGTATATTTAACTAACTCGACAAACCTTCTCCCATTTCCATTTCCCAGTGGTGTGTGGGTGTGTGCATGTTAATTGATATAATTGCTCTTTTAAATATGCCGCAAATTGTGAATTACATTCGCACATGGCCCGGCGCACGCACATAATTATCAAACTGTACTCGTATCGGCATATTAATATATTAATAAATCCGAATAAATAACTGTATGTATATGTGCTGGCGAGTAAATTATTTTTACCACACTGTTGATCAATGGTTCAAGCACTTTCAATTTTGGCAATCAATTTGTTGTTAGCCTGCCCAACACTACCACCAATTGCAGTTTGCTGCTCGCTGTAAATGCAACTGCAGGCTCCAATTGCAGGCGTGGACAATGAGTTATGGGTCGCGTTTTTATTCAATTTTTATTGCCAGGCATCCTTGCAACCTTCGAAGCGTTGCAATTAATTACTTTTATTAATTTATTGCCATTTTTCACGCGCCAATTGTCCTTGCTTGGCCCGTACGCGGCGTATGCGTAATCTCCATAGTTGCTGCCAAAGATGGGTGTTTAATTGAAAGCAATCGAGCGGGCTACAGTACACACCTAGTCACACCTATCAAATGGCCATCTATCTGTTAAAAGTTTTGACTATCCAAGTTGGCTTTTAAAGTTTACGCCGCACTTTAAGTTATGTTTCCCATTTTCAGGGCATGGAAAACTATAAATTTCAATGACTCGCAGTGCGGAATCCTTTGGCCAAATCCTGCCTGCAGTGCCGGAGTCTGCCATAATAAATTTCGTAAACCTTTTTCCGAGTTCCGCACAACAAACGGAGGCCCTGCGAAAAGCCGAAAAACATTTGCATACTGGGTGCGTAGTGAAAGGGAGGGGAGGAGAAAGTGGGAATACGGGGAGCCCCACCGTACAATTAAGAGCAATTTGCATGCAAAAGAAATGGCAGAACTTTCCCGTATCCCGTATTGTCTACCCTGCTAATACTTAATTTGCATGCAGCGAAAGAAACTTGAATGGCATTCGTTTTCGTTTTATTCCATTTTCGTTGGAAGGTTTTTCGTGAGCCTCGCATTAATTAAATTAATTTCATGATTGCATTTGTAATTTGCACAGACCCGCTCTGCTCCGCTCTTCTTTACCACCTCCCTCGAATCACAACCCCTTCAGTCAGCCCCTCGAAATAGCTGCGTGTGCTTCGCTTTGTGCGTTCGGCATTTTTGCGGTGGCCTCCGCTAGTGAAATATGTGTGTTTAACCCCGCTGAACCCCTCTGAACCCCACTGAACTTAACCCCCTACTGCCCAACTGGCAACCGTATTGCATTGAAATGTTTTGCGGTTGCTGCGGATTCTGTTCCCAGTTGCGGTTAGTTGTTGGAGCAGCCTAGATTCCATCCCATGCCATAGTATACCATCCAACTGATCCGCATCTGTGTTGTAGTCGTTGGCCTAGAGCATAGTGCCTGCAGCCTATGTCCTGCTAAAAACCGCACAATTTCCAAATTTCAATAATTATGCACATTGCACATGCAACTGACGGCGATTCTGGGTGCAAGTCCTATCTCCACTCCAGCCTCCGGAATGGTCCATTCCAGAACCATTCCTGCCAGGTCCAGGTCCAGGTCCATATATTTTGCGGGAGAAATCGCGTCGTTCGCTCCCAAAAACAGGCAAACTGATTTGCGCAAATTGTGCAAATTGCTTGCGCGATAAATTCATGTTTGCCAATTTTAATTAATTAATCGCTTTGTGCGGTTTTCATTTCGTTTCGTTTCGTTTCGCTCCTCTTTCTGGCCAGACCAACTAAAATGTCCGCTCCAGGCCAGATGTAAATGTATCTGAGTATCTGTATCTCTGTGTGTGCGGCTCTGCTGCAATGTTTACAGTTTCGTATTAACATTATCGCTATTTTGCCCGCTTTTGGCAAATGGAGAGCCAACTAAATTACGATGATAGATTACAAAATTACGTCCTATTAGCACGCGTCGCACTGATTTGGGAACATGAATAGGTTTTTAAGTCAATTTTGTGGTTGACATATAGTTTTTGAAACCTTTTAGTTGGCTTTCTTATAAGTGATGGCAAAATAAGAAGAACCTATCTATGAAACTGAAAAGCAAGTTATTAACTTATCTTTAAAAGAAAAGAAGGTATTCGATCTATTAAGTTGAGTTCAGAATGTGAAAGCGAAGTCTCATGATATATACTGCATATTGAGTGATATTCAAATCATATATCAAATGAAAATCCGGCTTGGCTATCTTAAAGTAAACTTTCCAAGCAAGTAGTAGCAGTGTAAATAAAAAGCCAAGCCACTGCTACAATAACTGAACTTGAGTTGGACAAGACTTTAGCCCTGAATGTGGCTACTGCGTCATCTTGATCTGCATACACGATGAACAGTTAGGGCTGCTTCTTTTTAATATTTATGTGTTACAACTGTAAAAGGCAAGGTGAAAAAATCAAAGTTAGACCAACTAACTAACTAACTAGCTGGCCTGGGCGAGTGGAGGGGCTTGGGTGCCAGTCGGCAGTCGGCAAAGTGCGATTTCGAGAAGTGGCGCTATTTTATGGCTCCCAAACGTGGCCCAAACACTCTCCACACACACACACATACATTGTAATATACATATATATATGTATTCGTGTATTTGAAATTCGATTTGAGAAAACAGAAGGAAGCGGGAACAGTTGGATGTTAAAAGTCGCACTTCTTTGGAGCAACGGACCAACGGCGATGGCGATGTATCTACGAGCATCTTCTCCCGGTCGCAGATACATGTTTGAGATGTTGCCATCGAGCGTGAATTTTCAGCCGGAGAGCTGCGGGATGGGATAGCGTGTAGTATCGATGGAGATATCGCACCTAACACCGCGCCTTAAATTTACTAATCACGAGCAGAGTTTGTACGAAAGAGTTCGAACGAGATGAACCAGCACTTCGTCTCAGCTGTGCGTGCTGCGTAATGCCCTAAAAATATGTCAGTGAGGTGGCAGATATGGCTTTGGCTATGGCTACTTTCATCTCCGCTACAGCTTGCCACAGTTGCATAGTATCTCAGTCGGATTGGAAACTCTTTTGGTGGTATGGTGAATGGTAATGGGCTCCAAGGAGGAGGCGAGCGGGTGTGGTCCCGATTGGGGACGTCACCATCTGAAAATCGCTAATGAACAGTAGCCGCACTGGGTGTATGTGTAAAAATTAGCACTTTCCGGGCAGCGTTTTAAAATGCAACAACAATGAAAGCCTACTTCAGGGAATGTCGCTTGTTCGAACTCTATATCTTTTATTTGTTGATATTTATATTTATGGTTTTATGTGGCGTCTCTCGGCGACCTGAACTCGTTCACCTGTTGGCCGCGGGAGTTTTGAAATACTTTCGTATACTAAATCCATCGCTCCGGATTTCTGACGTCCGCGAGCCTTGTGATGTATGCCGAAATTTTAACAAGTCCATCTCGAAAACAATAAAAATCATTGAGAGCCGCCATTCCCGCCACCGCCCAACATCAAAGTCGGCAATCGAGAGTGTTGTCTACCTAAGATGAAATTGAAATGGATTGCAACTGGCGTTTTGGACTGGGGGAGGAGGAACAGGTTTCCGCTTAGTCAGGATTTGCATTTTGGACTCACTTTCAGTGGAAATTGCACAAGACCAGGGTCCGGGGTAAGCTTGCCAAGTTGCCAATTGCCGCCTACACCTTCACTTTAGGCCCAATGGAATGGACATCGCATCATAACAACACCGAGGGGCTTCGTCCCCCAAAGGTTACAAGTCGGGGACGAGAGTTCGCATCAACTGGCGATGAGTAAATGTTTGACTTGTAGCAACAGTTGAGCCCGGGCAACAAAGGGAGTCGGGTAGAAAGAGTTGAGCCGGAGTCTCTCTCGCACGTACATGTTAAAAATTCCAGGCGTACGATGAAGATGACTCTCCCGTGAATCCCGGACCCCTGACCCCCTCCTCCTTCCCACTGCCAATCCCATCCAGCGATATACATACGTACAAATAAAATGGAAATGAAATAAAAATACGTTACGTAGTCAAGTGAGGTCTGAAGGTAGGAAACGGAAAAAAAGGGGTTAGCACTTGGCGGCTCTCTCTTTCTGAGATTTTGTATCTGTATCTGTCTCTGTAGCTCAACCTATGGATATATCTCAACTTCTGGCGTCTATATGCGTGTGTGTGTGTGTGTCTCGCACCTCAGTTTGCTGTTGCTCGGGCCGCTCTTCTTGGCTCTCTCTCTCTCTCACGTTCGTTACTGTTTTTGGCATCTTTTACCTTCTGAATGACAGGTTGTTGAAAAATTCAATTTATCCGATCGCCGCAGTTCGTTCCGAGCAATCCTCAAGTTCGTTAGCCCACCGGTCTAAAAAATCGCGCAGCCATCGAGAAACTAACTTAATTAGAGGACAAGCGTTTTCCGATTGAGCGGAACAAGTGAATAGCGGCTCGGGTTGTAATTAATTTAGAGATTCAACAAACATTTCCACAAAATATTTGCCAACTTCACGTGCGTGCGTGTATCTAAGCTATGGACTTGAGCTTCTATTTGTGAATTAATCGTGGAGAATTACTTATTTTACAATAATAAACCAATCAGAAATCAGTTTGATTTCTACATTACGTGGGTTGCTCTGAACGCCTTGCGCTGTATGACAAATCTGCTTAAAGAGAATGCATTCACAGATTGAGCTTTCCATTTGATGAATATTTAGGTATGTACCAGAAGTATAACACAGCTCAAGCTGAGGTATAATACGCCAGCTGATATATAATAAATAAAAAATAGTTCGGGCTTCATACCAACACTAAGTAAGACATTGTTCTCTGCAGTAATAGAAATCAATGTGTGAAACTCAGAGACTAGATTACTTTTGAAAATATTTGCCCAAGCCCATTGTGATGGATATACAAAGTAACTGATTTGTGTGATTTATAATAATCCCAAAGGAAGTTTATTTAATAAACTTAATATTTTTTCTGCTTAAATAGTTTTTACAACAAAAATCTCACAATCCTCCTTTCAGGCCCCAAGGATTGTGATCTGCCTAAGGCCGCATTAACAGCGCTGCACGCGGGAGTCAATAGTTTTGGCCAACTGCCGGTTGGCCCTAACTTGGCCGATCTAGGCGGCGGAGCAGGCGGTGGATCCTCTGGCGGAGTGCCTGTGGGCGGCGGTGTGGCACGCCTTCACATTTCCGGTGGACTGTGCGACAATTCCAATGCGTTGAACAGCGGAAACGGAAACAGCGGCAACGGAAACGGCAGCAACAACAACGGCAACAGCAACAACAACAGCAACATGCAGCAACAGGATCAGGTGAGCAGGCCAGCGCTATTTAGAGAGAGAAAGAGAGAGAGAGAGAGAGAGAGAGAGTGTCCTAGTGACAGGAGAGAGAGAGAGAGAGATATAGCGCCTAGTTGATACGAAACTTTTTTAATAATCCATGTTCTTTTCGATGTTTATTTTTTCCTTCAAATTCTACTCTGCTATGCCAAAAATCCAAAATCAAATACAAACCAATTCGATCCGAAATTCGATCCGAAACGAAAATGCCAATGAAAATCTGTTTCCAAAAACGTGAATGTGTGTGTTCTGAATTGTGTAATGAACCTAATTAAATGTGCCATGAATCATATTCGTATCTTATGAATCATATCCGTAAACTATAAACAAAAGTAAGTGTACTTTGATTTCCATACTTAGAACCGTAGAACTCCTATCCTAGTCTAACTATCACTTCTGTAGATCGTAATCTGTAAACTGTAAACTGTAAACCGTAATCCGTACACCCTAACGTAGTGCGTAGCTTGCATTCCTAGTCTGGTAGTTCGTCAGTGTTCTAAGAACCATTCGCCCAGGTCATTCCGCTCATTGTCCTTTCCCCTTTGGCCGTATCTATCTTCCAGCACCTGGACAAAAACAAGCAGAAGCGACACCGAACCCGCTTCACACCTGCCCAGCTGAACGAGCTGGAGCGCTGCTTCTCGAAGACCCACTATCCGGACATCTTCATGCGCGAGGAGATCGCCATGCGGATCGGCCTCACCGAGTCCCGCGTTCAGGTGAGTTTACTCTATATATCGACTATAATACGGCAGGAAAATGGGTTTAAGGTGGCTAACTCTTCTTAGGAATCATTTAAAATTCTTTTGGAAAAGAACTCCTAACAAAAACCTTATCTTTTCTAAGCAAGTTTTTCTTCCTCTGTATGCTAACTTTGCGTGGTTTGTCAGTGGTCGGAGCTGTCGAAATTTCGGTCTCAGTTCGTTTTAGGAGCGACATGACATTTCACTTGTGTTGCACACAACCGCAACGGACGTTTGGATTTTGGGATTTTGGTTTTCGGGCTGCAGTCAAAAACGAAAAGTTCGGGGGTATCTCTTAGCCAGGGCAGCTTGCAACAGTTTACGAGGCTCGGGGCTGAAAGTCGCCGCCGAACGCCATTTAAGCGCCCAAAATTATACTTTATTAAAGCACATAAAGTCACATTTAGTCGGGCATTCAGCCACACCCACACACATACAGGCTCTCCCCAGGATGCTCTTCCTTTTCCCCAGCAAAGTTGTGCCACACACACTCATACATACACACAATGGGCATTATCCTTTTGTGGCTGGCACAGCTCCCCTGTGCTGCTGCCATTATCCTTGTCTCTCTTTCGCCACCGGATCCCCAGCTCCGCGGAGGTCCTTTTTGCATGCGGGCGAGCTTTGTTTATGCGACAATCGAATTTACTGCTTCATTAAATTTGTGTTTAAGCTTCCGCTTCCGCTTTCACTGCTTGCTCTTGGCTCTCCTGGTCTCTGGCTCTTTTGCCGAGACTGCCGTTCTCTGCTCAGTGCAAAAATGTGCGAGAATCGTTCTGCGGTGGAAATGAATGCCAAAAACTTTGGGCCAACTACTGCTCCAGCTAAAACAATTAGCCATGAGTGAGCAACTCAGGCGACGACACCTTCATGATGATCCTGCCCCCAGTCCCACAAGCCACAGCCCACCGCCGGATGTGTCCTACTTTGATAAATTGTTTTAATAATTGCGTATCAGTGTTGCCCGTTAATGCTTTTTTCCAACCACTTCCCCAGCCACCAAGATCCGGTTGTCCAAAAGGACAATGCAATCACCTGCCAGGGGGTAAAGTCTGCAAGGGATGGAGTCTGGAGCCTGGAGGATTTGGTTAGAACTGCCGTCGGCTTTTATATAGCTCTCTGTTTTTGTTTTTTTTTTTTTTTGTTGTTGCTGCTACTCTCCTGGCCATGATGTTGTAGTCCTGCTGTTTTAATGCTTGATTTTGCGTTGTCGTTGCGGCTTAGAGGATGTCAGGCCGTTGGATTAGTTTTGGGATTGCTGTTTAATAAAATTAGCATATAAATTAAGTTCGCAGTCGAAGGCGAAATAAAACATTTAGAGCATCGAAAATTTCACACTTTCACGGATATGAGGTCGGACCTTCATTCGATATGCACACACACGTCTGGCCCTAAATCAATCTACAAGGATTTGCAGCTAATGACGGCATAAAGACAGCCGACTCCGGCCCCCGACCCTTGCAGATAGCCCCGAAAATCAAGTCAAAGTTGAGGAAAATTCCGGGGAAGTTGGTGGGGTTGAGCAGGATTTCGGCCAGGCAGGTGCATAAGTTATGAGGCTCACGTAGTGCCGACTAGCTGAGCGGGAAATTTCCCCACATACTCACACACGCGTGTGTGTTAGCCATAAAGGAGCATCATTTATGGTAAATATAATTTAATAAAAATAAAAGTCACAGTTAAGGAGACGCTTCTCCCCCATCACGCTTTTCCTAATCGGATTTTCCCCGTTTTTTGGGTAAATTAGAATAGCCAAAGCCAGCGGGAGGCACCCCGACAATTGTTAATTTGTGTTTTCACACCGCCCCAAATCAGTGGGCGGCATTTGTGCAATTTGCAAAGGACAATCTGTTTGTCACACGTGACATCTCGGCGGGGGGCTGCATTTTTGGGGGTGACCAAGAAGATGGCCCACCAAATTGACTTATCATGATCTGACATTGTCAACAGCACGGCTTCGGCTTTGTCTGGGTTGTTGCAACATTTATTGGTTTGTTTATTAAATTGTTGCAACGGGGCGGGGAAGGTCGAGCGGCGTCCCAGCACGTGGCTGTGTGTGCCAGTGCACTAAATGAATTTCTCACATGATTAATTTGCCTGACAACCTGGCCAGTTCTCAGGAACCCAGTACTGAGGAGCGAAGGTCTGAAAGGAGTCAGCAAGTAATCATTTACCTGGCAACCATTTTATAGCAATATCTGAGGTATTATGCTCCTTCATGACAAATATAATTTAAGTTATATTTTACTTTCACATTCCTTTTGGAAACAAATGATTTTTGGGCCTTGATTTATATCTGTTAACAACCCGCATTACTACTGAGTTGTGAAATTATTAAAACTGGTAACAGACTTCACATCATAACAGCAAACATTACTTAAAGATTATGTACTTTCTTCTCCGTTTGCCATCTAAAACAAAGTTAAACTAACTTTGGTAAGCAACCTCGACGATTTGTGACTCAGCAAGAGTAGGGAATATCGATTGGTCTAAGCCACAGGCGAAGTGAAAGAGTGACCATTCCCGTCCGAAAGGAACTCATCGGCCTTCCCACTGCGAGCTTTGATAATTTATTGCCTCGACTTCAGACAGAACTAATTTATTTGCTGAGCCGCTTAATGCTCCTCTAATAATAGTCCCCCCGCCTGACAGAGATTCTGAAGGGGATGGGTTGTGGATTCCAGCTAGACCTATGTGACTCCCAGCCAATATGCGAATATTTCGCGAAAATTAGACGAAATATTCTCATAAAAAGTGAGCATCTTTATTAAAAGCCAGGTGAGGAGAGAAGGCAAGGGATCAGGGGTCAAGGAGCCGGGAGCCAGGAGCCGGGGACATTGTTACGAGTACTTGCCAGCGAAGCACTCGAAGTCGGGCCAAAGGCGACTGGGTCGCGTCTGATATAACCATGGCATCGCAAATTTTAATTAAACTTTAATTGAAATACCAAAAACGAAAATATGCAACCAGCAGAACAAAAAAAAACGAGAGGTGGTACTGGATCGAGTTGGGGTAGCCAAGCGAAATAAGTGGGTGGGCTAAATTTAGCGAAAGCTTTAAAAATGGAAAAAACAAGTGGAGACTCTGGTAGGGAGCTGGGAATGGAGGGCGGGTTCTCCATAAAATGCACATAAAGAGCATCAAGGAAATCTGGCACGCATTCTGTTTATGGCATATGAAGCAATTCCGAAAGCAATTTCGTTGATACTTTTCATTGAAATGTTTGTGTGAAAATGGCGTGCCAAAGTGCCGGACGGACTTTGCTGGATGGGGGCCATGGGTGGGTGGGAGCTGTGTATATCTGGGATAAGCTGCTCCAAATGCTGCTGCCATTGATAGAATGACAAGAGTCCCCACGACCCAAAAATCCAAAGGGGGAAAAAAAAGGCTGAAAAACTTTGTGAAGATGGAACAAAGCGAATCCGAGGGGAGCATCCTGGAGCTGCGCATGCTCCACGAATGCAGCGAAACATTTTCGGGGGTTGCATTGGCCACCATCCCCCGAACCCCGAACCCCGAACCCCAATCCCGGAGCCCTCAACCCCGTATCCTGAACTCAGAACTCAGGAAAAGAGGCTGCTGTAGTTGCCCCGGCAACCTACAAAATGAATGGCCGAAATGAAAAACACAAGTCCCAAAAATCTGAAAAAATATCCAAAACTATTTCATAAATCAGCGAAGTTAGAACTGGGCCCGGCCACCCCCGAAAGGAGCCCAAGGAATCGCTTTGATGATGTCTATCAAAGGACACATTTTCCCGAAAGAGACGGCTAGAGTGGGCTGCGGGAGTGTGGGAGAGAGACGGCCATAGTGGACTCGGTCTCGGCGGGTTGGAGCTCCAGTCTCTGGGGGAGTTGGAGGTGGATGGGGGGCTTGGTGGGTTGGCTTTCTGGGCAAGTCGCGGCAAGTGTTGTTGGGGCTGACTCGTAAAGCAGGATTTAAAGGATAACATAAAATAAATCGACTGGCATTTGTGTGTGTGTGTGGGTGTGATTGTGTGTGTGTGTGCAGGAGAGGGGGTAAGGGCCAGAAGTCGAGACGGCATTTTATGAATTTATACGCATTTTTTATATGCTCAGGAATGAAAAGATATTGGCCGAAAAGCGATTTCCATAAACCACTCAGAGCCGGCAGTCATAGTCGCAGGATATGAAGGCGGGGATAGGGCCAATAATGATAATAAAAAGATGCTCGAGCTGAAGATGAAGACCAAGGAAAACAAGGACGACATCAAAGGCCGGCAGCCAGGGGACAGTTTGGTGTGGACTTTGTTGAGTGGCCATTTTATATTTCGGTTGCCTGGCAGCCTCAAGGGGGGAGCACAACCTCCGTCGGAGTGGATTGGAGTGGTGGAGTGGGTTCAAGGAAAAGCAATATCCTGGCCAATTGATTTTTGATTATGCCCCAACAAGAACAACAACAAGAGCAGGCCAATAACCAATCGACAATCTGGAATCTGGAATCTGCAATCGGCCGGATCAGGACCAGCAAAAATTGTCAACGCAAACGAGCCGAAAAATATTATTGCACTTTCTGGCTTTTGCCAATCAAGCGTTTATTAAGAGATGCTCTCCATTCTGCCCTCTTCCACCTGCTCGGTACTGCAACTATCCCCGCAAATAATATTTGCATTGGGGCTAATCGAATTTTGATTGCATTTCTGTGCAGCCGAGTCGCGAGGACTCTTTCCCATCTCTGATTGATAATTTTGAAATTGGCTTTTGAAGTGCGGCTTCCAATGGCAAAGTGCATTTCTATGTTGCTTATAGAACAGATATACAGTTTTCCTGACACATGCAAATCATGGAAAAACAGAAAAATCCCAACTGCAAGTCGATGTTGTTATCCTTACAGCTGTTTAATCAGCCATTAGGCATAATGTGCAATTAATGTTGCATAACGAACCGAGCAGATATCGTAAACAAGCCGGGAATGGAATGAGGGGATCATCATCGGGCAGGTCGCATATATATGGCAGACCATTAAGGCACGGAACTGCAATCATAAGTTGCGGGGAGAGGATGACGGCGACACAATAAACAGGTTCATAATAAAAAGCTGTTGGTCCTTTGACACCCACCCCATCATAATAGGATATATATACAGCCACCCCGGAAGGGGATAGCACCATCCACCAGCCCATAAAATCAAAGCAAATCACTTGTTATCCCATTTCCAGCCGCAGTTCCCATTCCCCTGGCCGTGTAATTTGGCCGATACTTAATTTCTGACTTCTGCTTCCATTTGCTCGCCCCTCGTGAGCATTTTTGGATTTCTGGATATTTGGGTTCTGACTCCTGGCTTCTGGGTGCTAATATCTGCGGCCTGCCACAAGAAATTGCTTTTTCATGAACTTGACTCATTTATTATTTGCAACAGTGTTGCCCTCATATATCTCCCTCCCTTCCCATTGTTTGCCTGCCTTTTTCCGGTGGTGTCTCTTCTGGCTTTGTGGCTGCTTTTTGTTTGTGTCGGTCGTGAAGTGAAAATTAAAAGTCCAAACATGAAAATGCTTTTGTATGGAACATATGGCTGAAATTTTTTGTGGACCACCAACTTGTTTTGATTTCTACTTTTTTGTGTGTCTGTGTAGTGCAGTTTGCTGATTGAAAGTTCTTCTCAGCCATGAAAGTTTTGCGAGAAAAATATAACTTTATAATTGTATTTGCTTACCTTTACTTACTGACTAGTGTTATCTTTGTTATTTTAAATGAATTAAATATATACAATGAGGTTACCTTGTTAAGTTTCTGAATAAAAAAAAATTAAACGAGAAAGATTTTGAATGAATATTGTTCCTGGAAACCTAATCACCATTTTAGTGACTGAGTAATTCTTACATAAATCATTAAAGAACTTTAAAAAGGACATCACATAGTCACATTGTCATTACTAAATATATAATTTTTCTTTGATTAGATTTTGATTAACTAGGAATAAGATTTTCGGTCAATTTCCATCAAGGCTGGCTCTGTTCACTAGCTATCTAACATAACCCAGAATATTCCTTAACAATACCCTCCTTAAAAGCCGTAAAAAAGGCGTATGATTTGACTTTTGCTTGGTAGTCAGCCACTCAGCAGCTGATAATTTATGCATAAGGGTGAAGCTTAAAAAATTACCGTTAGACACACAATTTAACGCGACATAAGGAGCTATTTTTTATGTTTTGTTTGGGTTCACGCTTCCAAATTGAGAAGGAGCAGGAGGGAAAACAAATCAAAATACATACATATCAAATGGGATTGCCTGTGGGTGCACACCCTCAAATATTCAAAATACATACGTACACTTTTCCAGGCAGACATAAAAAATAAATGTTTTGTTTAACCGACATTTTAACGCCTATTTACGTGCCGTGCACGTCATGCACGTTATGCCAATTTAATGGCTGCCAGCCTTAGACCAAAAAAGCAGGCAATGACTTTTGGCTTTCTCTTCCTCTTGCCCCTCCTTTCCGGTACTTCTTCTTCTTCTGATTATTTCCGTTCGCATTCTTCGTGTGGGTGTTTGAGTTTGTTTGCGAGTAGGGAAATGCCCTCACACGAATGTGGTTAGCAAAATAAAACAGCAAGCTAAATTTAATTTACCGAACTCAATAAGCCAGAAGGAGATGGCAACAAGGATACAGCCAGGCAGAGGCAGGGAAAGAGTGAAAGAGAGAGGGCGAGAGCAGAACAGAGGCCAGACAGTCAGACATTGTCTTAAATTATTAAATTAAAAGTTAATGAATAGAGCGACGCATAAGCACGTAAAAAACATAAACAAGTCAAGGTCGCCGACACAGCCCAACCCCCTGGAATACAACCATACAATATATATATAAACACACCCCGTCATCTCACCCTTCCTTCCTTCAACCATTATCCCTTGCACAATCTGGCACATTAGCGTCCCTGGTGTAACATCCAGAAAACCACTGATATTCCAACCTGAGCAACCTGAGCGATAGTTCCAGTTCTGTGGGTGCACAAGGAGAAAAAGGATTTAGTTTCTTTTAATCTCAGATATAAGTAATTTGAAAGTATGATCTTAATTCGGAGCTAGTTGAACCATCAAAAGATTTTAGTCTAAAGACTGAGAGACCCCTATCTAATGTCCTTTCAGTTTCTTCATAAATAAAGTTAGAAAATCAGATATTCAACAATTTTAAATAATATCTTTAAGTGTATATTTCGAAAACAAAGCGCTCTTAGTGCTGCACTCTTATTTTTGAATTTAGATCGATTTTTTCTCTGCCCGAGTTGGTTGAGTTCTGGCTCCGTCTGCCAATGTCCGACATATGACAAACCCACTGGGGACCATCAGGCCATCAGAAGGCCTTACAAGCAAAGTTACTTTGCTCGAAACTTGCCATTTTTCTTTCTGGCTCTTCCACCATTGCCATTGCCCCCCTTTTCCCGCTTTTGGCCCGCTCTTTTGGCCGTATTCCTTTGCCATTAGTCTGGCGCACTCAGACAGAAACAGTCGACGCCGACAGTCGGTGACAGCTCAAGATTTGCCACGAAATGCTGGGATTTATAAATACTATATAGCTGTATGTATGTATATATGAGAGTGGGTGGGTGGGTTGGCTGTATGTATGGGTATAACGGTTAAGTTGTCAACCCGACTGCGGGTGATGTGGATGCGAAGGCCTGATGGCCTGGCAAAATCGTTTCCATGTCACTAGTCATTCACCAGCTGGCACTTTATTTTCATTTTTTGTAGCACCGCTTGAAGAAGGCAACGGAAAAAATGTTAAAAATGCTAAAAGGAAAGTTAGAGCTGAGGATGCCGTGCAATCTGCAATCTGCTGCCATTGAATACTTCCTGCCCCTAAATGTAGGCAACCCTTTTTCGCCCCCACCCCATGAGGTTACCTATACTAGTGTGTGAGTGGAAGTGGGGAAGTGGGGGAGTGGAGATGTGAGGAGTGCTTGTGTGCTGCCTTGTAAATGTCAAAACCTCAACGTGTCTACCTTGTTCGGCTCCGCTGTTCTTATGCATATGGAAATGCCAATTTGAAGCGAACACATCCGACACGGGCCTCGACCTCTCCGGCCCTAAGACAAAAGCGTATCGAAGGTCCAGCCAGGACTCGCTGGCCAAAGATGCCAAATTGACCGGAAAGCGGGTGGGGTGGGAATCTACCCATATATAGGCTGAGGAATTTACATATCGAATTTATGCGCATGTAAAACTGTTTCTGTTTCTGCGAGAGTGTGTATCCTTGTGTCGAGACATGTTTTGACTGTCACGGCGGTAATTGATCTCGATTAAGACCGTGTTCGTAGGAGGCAACTACTTCGGAAGAAGGCCGAAGGGTTGGGTGGGAGTTGGCCAACATGGAGCCGAAATACATACAATTTCATGTCTGTCACAGGTTCAAGAGTTAAGCTGAGAAATCTTTAAATTTTTATTAAATTACAAAAAAAAAAGATATAAATACCCAGTTCTTAATATCTTTTTAATCAATCTCCCTACAGGTGTGGTTCCAAAACCGCCGGGCCAAGTGGAAGAAGCGCAAGAAGACCACCAACGTATTCCGCACACCGGGCGCCCTGCTGCCCTCTCATGGACTTCCCCCCTTTGGGGCTAATATCACCAATATTGCCATGGGCGATGGCCTCTGTGGCACGGGAATGTTTGGTGGAGATCGCTGGAGCGTAGGAGTTAACCCGATGACGGCAGGTGAGTGATCCCTCAGACCCTTTTAATTGCTCTTCCAAACTAACTCTCCTATCTCGTACTATTTCCTTACTAACTGCTGCTTTTTTGGATTGGGAAAATGGAATTTGTCTGCAGGCTTTGGCCAGCTGAATCAGTCGTCGCCACTCTCGTCCTCGCTGAACAGCGGCCTAAACTCGGGCATTAACATGGGTTCCGCCTTGGGAGCGGGCAGTTATCAGCACTACGGCCTGAATGCTCTGGGTAGGTTGTAGGATTTGTGTCAGGTCCACTAGAGAAACCTCTACCAAGATCACATGCCCGGAAATTTTCCATCTTCATGCGGCTGACAAAGGCCAAGCGTTGACACTTTTTTGCCTGAAATGTTTTTATTTTTGGGGCTTTGTTCGGTGGTCTGTTTGCTTCTGGGTATTTATTTGCTTAGCCATCGATACCATCCAGTTCCAGTTTCCAGTTCCAGTTCTGCCGACAATTGACCAAACACGACGCAGAGTCCGCGTCTCTCATTTCTTTGAACTCATAACACTTTTTCGGTAGCCCCAAAACATATGCATGCGTATGGGTTGTATCGCATCGTATCATTTATAATGCCCCGGGCTGCCTGTTTGTTCGATCAATTAACAGGCAGTCGTTTAATTTTCAGGAATACCCAAAGGCATTTTTTCATCTTCTTTATTTGGTTTCGTATAGTTGTGCTAATTGACATTTTGGAGACATGTTCATGTCGATTTTTTATTTTTCGGCTCTTGCTACCGTCAGCAAAGTTTTCATTGTTACACTTTTTGTCGAGGATTTTTAATTTTTTGTGCCCTGCCCTGCTTGCACATATCACTGGGTGACATCACATAGCCATGAAAAAGTTGTTACATATCACAAGATATAAGTCTTATGGGCTTGTCTGGTTTATCAATCATATTTACAATTTGAATTAAATTGGAAATATGTTCTTTAAGAGCTAAGCACTATATATTGTAACTTCTCATGGTATCCTCGAACTGAATGATGTGAAAAAAAAGCATTGCATTTCGATTTCCTTACACAAGTTTTTAGTTTCCACACCAAAAAAGAAGAGTTTTATTAACATAATAATTTCATTCCTACCTGAGCAGAGTCAAAGTCAGCTTAATAATTATTTGCCTCATTTCTGCAGGCGACTCCATGATGTACCAGCACAGTGTGGGCGGGGTCAGTTGTGGGCCGAGTGGTTCGCCGAGCGCCACCACCCCGCCGAACATGAACAGCTGCTCGTCGGTGACCCCGCCGCCACTTTCCGCGCAGCCGAACTCCAGCCAGAACGAGCTCAATGGCGAGCCCATGGTGAGTCCTCTACAATTTTAAGAATTTAAAATAAATTTACTAAATGTAAACATTGTTATATAAATAAATATTTAAGCAACTAAACTAAGTTAAAATAAATTTTGTTTAAATAACAATCTGATTTGTATAATGTTAAAACTCAACATATGTTAAAGCCCTTTAAGAAACGTAGAAAACTTAATCTTAAACTTATTATGTTAAAGACTATGCCTTTTAACATCAAATTTTACTAAACATAAATAAATCTCTGTTAATTAACAGCCGCTGCACCAGCAACAACAACAACAGACTCACCAACAGCAGCAATCTCACCAACAACAGCAGCAGCAAACTCACCAGCAGCAGCAGCAACAAGCTCACCAACAGCAGCAGGTAAGTCACCACGGCTTATGTCTCGGCTAAAGCTTTACTTACCTTTTGCTGACCGAACACAGATGGCGCCACCAACTCCCACACAGCAACAACAAGAGGCAGGACTACCGCTCTGCCACCAGTCCATGCAGTCACCAACGGATGGCGCCACCGATGACGACGTGTGGCGAGGACACAGCATCGCAGCGCTGCGGCGGCGGGCATCGGAACTAAACGCCATTCCCTCCTACCTGCACCCACACCACCCACACAACTACGAGCACCAGAACTCGGTCTACTGAAATTTGTTGAAAAGCTTCGAAAGCTTTTCGGATTACGGGTTCACCAACTGCGGAGCTCCCGACATGAACTAGGATGTGGTGGATCGGTGCAGGAACGGCCGTTGCAGATTCAAATGGCGGCTAACTGCGAGGGCGAAGGAAGCGTTATAAGATAACCAAAACCTAGGCTTAGGGCATTGTACAATTTATGTGTTTGCATTATTTGTTTCATGATTTATCAGATTAAACTTAAACTTAAAAGACTATAATGAATGTAAACCATGTATACGAGAAACGAAGCTTGAGAAGGCACTAACGATTTATTCGAAACTAGGTCCTAAGCCAACTATGAAACTATTCCCGCATGAATATGTAGACATTAGATGTAACATTTGCCGTATACGAAAACTGTATAAACTAGATCGCCAGAGGGGATATGGCCAACCGTATCCCTGAGGTGTCACAATAATTTTTGGCAAGACGATTCCACGGAGTCAGCGCTTAGTTCGTACATAAGCATAATTATGCCTAGGAGTGTATGTAAGTAGATCTATTCTCAGTGTAAGTGTTGTTGTTTTTGTGTATAGGCAGTATACTTCCGTTCCGTTGCTATCTCTCGATCTAGCCATACGATACAACCCATAGAATATATCAAACGAGCAGCCCCCGCCCCCACTATAGCAAACTGACACTGGCGCAGCTCAAGTCTCAACCTAAAACCGTTTCAGAGTGCACGCATCCGATGGATTACTTTTACGATTACCAATTACAAATTATGCAAAAACAAATACAAATACAAATACAAATACAAATACAACTACAAATACAAATACCATTATATATACATGCATACGATTATGGCATACTTGTAATAGACTTTCTTGTATCGTTTAAGCCTAAATTTAAATCCAACTAAACAAAAAACGAAACCCAATTACTATGTATGTAATTATGCGTATTATTAAATAGTAAACTAAATTAAAAACTGAACGTGATTTGCATACCACTCTAGCATGGAGGTCTAATAAAAACCAGTTCATTAAGTGGCTAGCTGCGTGCTCGGACTGAGTGGATAATTGATATCAGATGACTGCGGACCAAAAAAGTGTTCCTTGACAGTTATGGAGAACTTCCCTGTTATGTTCGTACAACACCAGATAAGTTTATAAACTTTAGGCAGTACTCACATTTGAAAGTACTTTGGTAGTCCGCGTCTTCCAATTTGCCATCCCATCTTTGGCCCATCTTGATTGTGCTTACCAAATACCTATAGTATATTCCATAAATGTTGAGAGGACGAGTGTGAGGCTTGCATACTTTTTCATAACTCAAGACTTGTCCGACGAGTGGCCATTTCCCACAATTCGTGCCCCTTTGCTCCCTGAACTCCTTGCAGATGCAATTACAATAATTGAATGGGATTGGACCGACAGGCAGATGCTCAAATGTCAAACAAGTTTAAGCTGAAAATTGGCAAAATTGATAAAACTTTGACAGTGCGCACAAACACACACACACGCCCACGTTGATAAGAGTCTGGTTTACGAGAGTGTGTGGCCTGGTGTTCCGGTGGCCTGGGGGCAGGACGATTTGCCAGTCCGTCTGATTGGGGTCAGAAAAGGGCAGGGGAGCAGGTCGCAACTCGACCCGACTGCATGCATGGGCTTATAAATTTTATAATGCTCCCTGACATTTGACATGCACATTGTCACGACAATTGGCCCGTGGAGCCTGCAGCTGGACCCATCCAGAACCAGAACCCGACATCGAACCCGAACCAGAACCAGAACCAAACCCTAAACCCGCAACCGAAGCCTGCAGCTGGGGAGGCAGCTTAATCACACTGATGGCACTTTTATGCTATCTGTTCGGCTATGTATATTCGAGGAAAAAGCGCACATAAACAATTTAATAAAATAGGATAAACACTGAGGAAAACTGGAACATAAATTAAGTTCAGCATATCGAACTAACTAAATTTAAAGTTTAATAGAAAGAATTTGCCTCCAACAATAAGTTTATTACTACCACAGAACACCGCATTGCTTTTAAAAATGTCAAACATGTTTTCTCCAAGTGCACTTTGGGCCAACGAGCATTTTATATTCTGATGTGGAAGGTGGAAAGGAAGTCGGGAGCCCGGAGTATAACGTGCTCGAACTCCAAAATTGATAACTTGCCATCACCATCGACGTCGGCCTCCTCGATTACCTTGTCGGCAATCTGCTGGTGCTCCTCCGGACTCAGCTCGTTCTTGGTCATTGTTGTCAGGCAGGACATGAGGTCAGCGTGCCCGATGAAGCCGTCCTGATCGAAATCTGCAAAGTTATGCCAGACATAAGTACACACACACAAGTGCTGTGTGAGTCGATGTGGATGTAGATGGTGGGCGTTAGGTTGGGCAACTGTGGAGATGGCTTACAAAACTTGACATTTTCTTGCACAAAAGTCAAGTGATGTGTGCCAAACTGAGTTTGCCGCACAGGTAATCGCCTGCTGCACGTTTCAATTTGTGTCAATCTAATAATGCACATTGAAATAAAGTGTAGCTGCCTCTTCATCGCTTGACTTTCGAAACTAGTTTAGCAAAAATTTCTACTACCACTCGACCTGAGAGATACTTTGCATCCTATTGATTGTTCGCCCTCCCCCTCCACTCTCACCCACTGTGGACTTTGGCCCATTAATTTCGAGTGCCAAGTGCACAATCAATTTGCACCAAAACTTTCGCCCCATTTATGGTGGCATTTTTCAGATTCTAATTTAAATTTCAATTAAAATGCTTATTAGAATTTATGGCTGCCCTTGAACTTTGGACCTGCAGCCACCGCAACACAAACAACAATAGTTGCCTGAAACGGCGCCACAATTTACCGACCCGCGAGTCGCCCCATAGTTGTTGTATGCCACATTTGGCGGCCAGGGCCATCTTCCACATGCTTCTCCAGCCCACTTTGCCCTTACCCCTAGAAGACCAAATGCAAAGAGGGCCAGCACACACTCACGTACCATGCCAAAGACAATAAACACGGGCTGCGGAAATGCATAAACAAAGGCTCAAAATGCTGGCCAGCACAGCAGCTGGAGCTGCAAATGAAGATGGAGCTTGGAAGCTGGTCTTCTCCACAACTAGTGATGGCAAGTTTATATGGTAGGCAGATGCACTTGGTTCCTGTATTTAGGGCCTAGTTTCAAACTAGTTTTTTATTTCATATTGGAAGTAGTGCCTTATATAAGGTTCAACAACTAGTCGGATACGTAATTTCCCAATAGAACATGCGCCTTATTAACTTGCTCGTACTTTTTACTAAAATCGTGTGAATCTTATACATAGCTATAAAACTCTATTCCTTACTTTTAACAAGTTTATTGAGCAGTTTCCACTTTTTGATATGCCAAGATAAGTCTGGAAATCTTAATTTGCATTGTTCATTGTACTTTCCCTACTAAACCTTATACATTGTTTTTCCCATCACTGACCACAACAACTGAAATCGAGGGTAACGCGAACTTACCATAAATTTTGAAAGCGTAGAAAACTTTAATGTCCCTCGGCGCCTGCTCGCTGAAAACGGAGAGGGCGTCCAGAAAGTCCTCAAAGGATAAATTGCCCTGGCCATCGCGTGAGAAGGCCTCGCCTGCGAAAATGGAAAATTGCTATAGTCTCTCTGTTTTTTGGCTTTGCTTTGCTTTGCTTATAGAGGCTCTGGTCCTTTGTAACGCACATATTCGCCGGCGAAAGGGATTCTCACGCAACTCGGGCATCTTCTCAATGCACTCACAGGGAACCTTAACACTCGAGGCCTGACCTTCGGTCATTTGGCGAGGCACCAAATCCGGCCGCAGCTCACGAAATCGTTTATGAACGCTGTAACGTATGGAAAAACAAAGATGGTGGATTAGTTTTAGTGGATGAAGTGTGGAATACTCTTTCCCAACAGATACCCATTTCTTCTAACTAGATAATGGAAGTAAAGATGGATTCATTGATCATTAATGCTACTGATTAGTGCCTTATAGATTAGTCAGTAAAGTCAGATAGGTGGAAGGTTAAGATGGCATCCTCTTGAGGACGGTTATCAATAAAGTGGATACTGCCCGAACTGGTAATCCCAAACCGAAAGGGTATAGAAACCGATGTTATAGCGAAGTAAAAGGCCAGGGAGATGACGGGCTTTGTGTTTCTGAGTGTCTGTCGTGTGGGTATTCTCTTCTGCCTGGCGTTTTTTGTTGCCGCCGAGAGGCAAACAATAGGAAGCTGCGAACAATGGTAGGCGGTGCTTTGTCTGCCGCCATATGAAATGGAATAGTTTTGGCTTATTACGGGAATACAAATGGCCTTACCGCAGAATTTCCTTGCGCGTGAAGAACGTGCAATCCTTTCCAATAGGGCGAAGCACCAGCAATGTCCATGCATGAAAGGGAATTAGCTTTGGGTTCGCTCCAACTGATTGATTGCTCACCTGGTAGTCATCCAGTTCCTGCTCCGTAAATGTCACAACTTTGTTGCCCATCGTTTCTGACCACTCTGTATGGTACGGTTCGTTTCGTTTCGGATAGGATTGGGATTGGTTTTCGCGTAGCGTAGCTGCCGGCCAAACTGGTTAGTCCCAAGCGTGAATACCAACTGACACTGTAGTCGACCGTGGGCCAACTCCCAGCGCCATAACTTTGCATAGCTCCATAGTTCCCCGGCTACGGACACATCCTGCGGCGCCTGGCCAGCGTATGGCTCCCGCATTCGCATGGAAATTAATTAAGGAGTGTTCAGGCCCGTCACTCCCACTTCTACTCCCAGTCCCACTCCCACAACCTGTCCCATAACTATACCCTAGCATCGTAGCTTTTACAGGACAGCGCCGTGTATCCTGTGGCTTGTTTGCCCCTGCTGCCTTTTTCGCTGTCAAGCTGCGGCAAAAACCGTTTTCATAGGTGCGGCCCACAAAGTAACTAGAAAAATATGGAAAAACTAAGCCAACTTGAATACTACTGATCTACCGAATGAATGATACCTAATATATTTTCATTAGATATTTATTTTAAACCACATTATACAATATTTTCACCACAAAAATGGTGTCTTTTCGACAATATAAAAGGTAATTAGAGTCATGATAATGTCTTTAATTCTTTCTTACAGTTCAGAGAGTGAGAAAAATGTAAAAAAGTGCCAAACATTTGATTTCCGCTATTCAGTTTCTCCAGTTATTAACTTAAAATCTCCAAACGAATCATGGAAACCTCGGCTTAGCTTCCCTTCCGGCCAATTAAGAAGATTTAAGCCAGGAACATGCTAGAGTCTTAGTCAGAATGTCTGACACTTTAAGCGCTTAATAACGTAACCATCCGCTTTTAGGTTGCAAGGACTCACACGAATTCAACATACCCTTGTCCTGCTTAGCAACCGGGTATGAAACGAACTCGAAAAGCTGCTGCACAAAAAAGAGCAGCTAAATTTATATTGAGGAGAAAAGTGTAGCACAGTTTTGTGAGCCCGACAGTCGATGCGTGCGGCTTTTAGTTGGGTGTAAAGTTTATTAATTAATTTAATGCTCGACGGCACTTTTCAATTTCACGTGTCTGCGCTATGAATTTATGAAAGTGACTGTCGGGCTTCGGATCCAAATCCAGGACACAGAGCTTGGTTAGAAAGTGATGACCCAGCAGGGAGACGCACCAAGGCTGCACTGCAGCGTCGCTGCAGGAGATTGGGAATTCGATTAGCACCCGAGCAGCGGGAAGGCGGAATTGTGTGGATAATACTTACCTCTGGCCAGCTGGGCAATCGGTTTCGCATTCGATTTCGATTTCCTGAAACGTCAACATAATCGAGCAGTCCAGGGCCGTGGCACCTAGCATGTAAGCCTGCTCTTCATCCGGCTCGAATTCCGCCTCCTTTCTTTCTTCCACGTAGGCCAGCAATCCCCGGAGTGAGTTGTAAGTGGGCTCGGAGTGGCCACTGTAGCCGGAATGCCACATGAAGTCGAAGTGGCGCTGCAATTGCCAAGAAATGTTACTCGCACAGCACAAAGCCACTTGGCCGCCGTCCATTGCCCATTTAGCCGCCTCTTCGAATAAACTTTCAACTCCCAGCCCACCTGAGCATTATGAGAAAAAACAAGGATGTAAAATCAGGGGATTGGTCTGAACCTTGAGATACCCTAGCAAAGAGATTTGCATCTTAGAAGTCATAAAATATATACAGCTCTTCTAAGAAGCACACTAAGGTTGGTTATCATTAAAATCAGCAAGGTCAAAAGATAAATCACGATCCTTTCAGGGACTGATATCTTAAATCTGGTGAAATATGTTAGGGAAAAGAAAGCCTAGTGACTCTGACTAAGATTAAATTTTGTTTGTGAGGTTAAACAAACAATCTAGCCCACCATAGGGCCTCCTTTAAGGGTATGACAAAGCAAACTCGAACTATCTGCAATTGCCAAGGTTCTCTGGGGCAAGAAAAATAAACAAATCCAAACGGACATTCGAGGAGGAGTGGGCAGCAGTTTGATTGGTTGGCTTACCTTTACCAGCAATTGCAAATTCAAAATTTTTTGCAGCACACAATTTTTTGGTAAGCGAAATATTTCCGCTTTGTTGATTCGTGCTTGAGTTTGATTCTCAGGCTCATTCTGATTCCGATTTCGGCTTTCATTTTGATTCTGATTTTCATTCTCATTGCGACTCGTAGCAGGAGTTGCCTGTGTTTCCGGTTCCGTTTTTGTTTCCGTTCGAGCTGGCGATGCCAACACATTGCCACATTGCAGTTGACTTCTCGATGTTGCTTCTGCGACCGTTGTTGTTTCCATTCTAGCCACTTTTGTATACCTTTGGGTCGTGGCTGTTGCAGCAGCTGCTCTCGTCCTCGTCGTTGAGGATTGACCGGCAGTGACAACAGAGCCGGTTGCCCTGCCTCCGAACTGCAGGACAACATTAGCGGCGCCAATTCCAGCAGCTCCGGCCTTTGTCTCCGTCGCCGCAATTGAAACGCGACTCTGATTCAGCTGCTCTGGCTCCGGCTCTTGCCTCTGATTCTGTTTCTGGTTCTGATTGGGGCCCTCTGCTTGGTCGGATTCCGGCTCCTGCACAGAGAAAAATCAATGCAATATAAGCTTCTTATTGCCTCTTTATATAGATATTGCAGAATGGTTTCAGAAATGTCAGTGAAGGTGTTACTAAGAAGGGAATCGTGGGTTTAGGTAGAGTTTCAGTTAGAAGTTAGTTAGCGTATTCAAGAACTATAGTTACTTACTGAAGCGTGCTTATAATACAGATAGGTTATCATATAGTTAAACTATTTTTACAGTGTAGCTTACCTTGTATTCCCTGAGCAGACAGGCCACCAGCAAATGTTTTATAAGCACCATAATTTCACTGGAGAATTTCAGAGATTTTATGGCCATGGCGATGGCGATGGCGTTGGCGATGGCATTGGTTGAATTTTGTTTGTTAGCGTTTTCAATGCGCATTCCCATTTCGTGTGGTCGTTGTCGGCGTTGTCAACGTGGTGCCAAAAGGTGTTGAAGCGACACAGCCACGGAAAAACATGGTCAAGGGTGTGGGTTGTGGGAGAGGTAAAAGTTGAAAACCAGGTGAATATCGGGGACTAGAGAGAGAGAGAGGATGCAGCCGGGAAAATGGCCATGTTGGCATTTGGCACTCGAGAATTTGTGTTTGGCTGTTGCTTCTTGCATTATTTATTGAATATTTGCGTGTGGCCGAATTGCTGAGAGTTCTCCTCTTCCTCTGCTCATGAAAATTTATGCCAGGGCAGGAGTGACTCGAAGAGAAAGTAATTATAAGAACTTTTCGGACAATTTGAAATGCCAGACAATTCGGCTCCAAATAAATAAAATGATTTCAAAAGGAATCAAACCTGAATTCTAAATTTTCCCAGCTCTTAAATTCCTCTCTGACCATCACCAAAATCTAAGGACATCTTCCTTTCAAGCTGAGCCAGCGCTTGTTTTTATTTTATTTTTAATACTGCCAAGTCGCATTTATTTAAAAGCAAGACTGACTTACCCGGGAAAGACACGCGAGTGCAATTCATCGAAGGAAATCGAATTCGCGTGATCGCCATAAATTAAATTGCCGTTCTGAAATACACGTAAATTATTTTGCGGGCAGGCGAGAAGTGCATCCAAGGCATCGAGCATACGACTGGGTGCACTAAAAGCAGAGAAAATAACCAATGGAAATACATCAGCGGACATGTCTCTTGTACAGTGCGTATGATAATTATAAGGTATATGAAGAGGAGAAAGTTGAAATCATAACAAAGTGTTTGAGGTGTATAAGACTTATGTGCAATAAAGATGTAAGAATTAGATGAGTATCCTACATGATCCAAGTCATTCTTAGTCAATTTGATACGCCTGAGGTGAGCATTAGGCTGCGTAGAGCGTGCACTTTCGTCACGTGCTGTATTTATGAATATTACTATTAAAACTGATGTATATGCATACAGGATATATGGAAGATGCTGGCACCCGAAACAAAGGCAAAAGAATTGGCAACAATTTTCGAGAGGTCGCGGGAAAGGAGCTGGAGTCGGAGCCATGAAAAGTGGGGACAGGGCAAAGGAAGGCAGGCGGAGCAGGCGGTAAACCGGAATGAAAGCGCAAGCAAATTGAATTTTGTGCACGGATGCACGCATGACTTGAAACAGCGGGCCGCAAATAAACGAATGAGTTGGGGCGAGGGCAGAGGACTGAGGACGGGAACTGGAACTGGGATTGCAATTGAAGTGGACCCAGAACCGTCCGGACTATTCAGGGTCCTGCCGTACAATAAAGCAAAAAAAAAAAAAAGGAAAAGGGAAAATAATACAGAAAAAAGACGGCACTAAAGCAGAGAAGGAGTGGCAAACAGTAACCGAAAGTGTTGGAATTATGAAGCACGACAGGACACGCAAATGGAGCAGATTGAAATTTATGACTCGATGTTCGTGCCAAAGGAGCGACCTCTGGCTCCCTGTTCATTGTCCGGCTGTACGGTGTACGGTGTATAGTGTCCGATGTCCGGGGTTCGATGACATACCCAGAGAATAGATCCAACGGACAGTAGTGGCCCAACCGTTTGATTTTCCCATTGTGCAGCTGTCGAAAGGGAGTGAATGAAAAACTAAAGTGACCTTCGTTATCGTCCCACTCACTCACCTTCAGCAGTTGCATGCTGCAAAAGCGACACCAGCACTTGTCCCCGACTAAAGGTTCCGACTCCACCTGTTTGGGGGGCTCCTCCTTTGGCTTTGTCTCTGCTCCTGCCGGCATTAAATCAAATAAATCGTTGACATCACTTGCCAACTGGAGCCAGCCTTGTTTGGGTTTTATTTCGATGGCATATGTATCGCCCAGACGACGGACACCGGTCCTCCTTGTTCCTGCTGCCTCTCGCCTCTCCTCCGTCGCTTACTCCTCGTCTGGTTTCATCTCCTGTAGTGCCCTTTGCCTGCAAAATTATATCGTTTCGCTTATTTGCTCTCACTCCTTTGCCACGTCCCCCGATCCCGATCCCGATGCCGAGGAAATGGAGTAAAAGGAAGGTGCCGGCATGTCCTGCCATGAAATATTATGCCTGCCGTGTACCGCGAACTTTTGCCCTGGCGTTGATGCCATTTTGACTTGAAAATGCAGCAACGAGCGCAGCAGGAAAAAAGAGGAAACCATCATGAATAAAGCTACCATGGTTTCGCATGGGTTGGGATCGGGTCCTTGGACAGGTTATCGCTACTCCTCCGCCTGCTCCTGCTCCTGCTCTTGCTCCGGTTACGTTGTTGTTGTTGCTGCTACTGCTGTGACATAAAACAAAAGTTGTTGCGCTGATTGTATGATGAGTTATGGAGCCAACGGCCGGCACGGCATGGCCGCAGTTCTCCATTCGCGGCTTCCCAACTTGAAATTGAAAATTAACATTTAAAGCCGCAATTAAATGGTTTTTTCGGCGCTTACCTTTTTCCCTATTTTTTTGCCCGCAATTCGCCCTGCGCGATGGAACACACAATATGGCGTTAGTTATGGCCACGTTGTATATACATATGTACCGCTTTCTATGGCCTTTTTTCTGCCCCTGCTCCGCCGGTTGTTTGTTTCCTTTGCTGGCAATTTTATTTCGGTCAATGCTTTGGCACCAAAGCCATAAATTCAATATGTACCCACCGAGCACGGCGAACAAATAGCCAAAAAATGCCAAAAAGAAAACAGCGGCGACCGGCAAATGATCGAATCGGGGTGTACCCTGAAATCCTTCAAGGGGAATCCCCTCAACACATAAGCTTCCAACTAGCTAAGCTACCCGATGGCTGTCCGATTCTGGCGGACATAGAGCATATAATAAAAGTTGCAGCTATGGCGGCACTTTCAAAGCAATTTCGGCATCTTTTATAACCGCACAAGTCCAAAACCTAAAACCCAAACCCAAAAAACCGAACCAAACGAAACGAATCGAAATGGCCAGTGGCCATTGGGTGGGGGCAAGGTTGCAAGTAACACCAACAAAGTGTTTACACTGTTGCCCACTTTAATTCAAAACAAAGAACCGTTGATTTATGGGCCTTGGCCAGGGTTTAGCTACGAATTTGTATGGTGGAGGTGGATGAAGCGGGATTCGTGGGTTTGTTAGCCGGATGCCTCGGCACAAAGGCAAACTAAACCGCAGCAGGAGCAGAAACGGCGGCAGCTTTAGCTAACGTGTCCAGCACATATGGCCAAAAATGCCAATATTGTCCTTGTACAAAATACACAATTTATTTGAACAGCAACAGCAACAACAACATGACTCCAGCCAAAATAGCAGCCTCAGCGTTCAGTATTCAAGAGCAGGAGCAGGGAACTGTAGGAGGGACTGAAGCTGGAGCCAGAGCAGCTGACGACGACCAACTCACCTGTAAATTGGCAAGTAAAACATCGAACGTGGCAGGCAATTGGGTCACATCTGGCAGCAGCAGGCCGAATGGCCCCACAAATTCCTTATCCAGACGCGAAACTGCAACGGGTGGAAAACAGACGGAATGAAAAGCGGGAAAGTCAGTGAAATTGGGATGGTATATGGGATAGAAGGGGATACTATAGCCGAATGAATGTAAAGTGCAAGCGCCAGCATCCGGCGATTATTGATATATAGACGCCGCTGGCGGTGGGTTAGACTGCGAAGGTGAATGATAAATCGCTGACCAGTTCTGCCGTTCTGCCGTTTTGCAGTTCTGCAGCGTTGCAGCCTGTTGCTGGCTGCCGGGCATAAACCCGATTTTGATATATGGCCACGACTATGGCGTCCGCCACTAATCAGTCCCATGTGGACGGGCTGGTGCGCCAGAAACTGAAACTGCCACAGAAACTGAAACTGGAGCAAGGGATCTTTCCCATCGTAAACGTCAGTGAAAGGGACTGGCCTGGGACGTGGGATGGAGCACTAAAATGCTCGTTTATGATTGATTGCAGTGGCTCTAAAAGGCTTTGAAAAGAGGCCAGGAGAAGCAAGGGAGAGTCGATGGCGGTTGCAGTGCAATGGCAAAGGCCAAAGGGAGGCACTGCAGCAAAAGCTGATCAAATACAAAATTTGCTACCACAACCGGGCAACACCAACACAAAATACCACAGTGGAGATCCGCTTGAATGGCGTGGAAAACCCGCTATCGGTGAATAGTTTTCCAGTTTAGCAGATACATTCTGTATTTACACAGCAAAAAAACGAAGGGTTAAAAACAATCTAAACTTAAAATGTTATTGCCAAATAAAGATAGTTCCTTTTGCCCAGTGCACTTACCCGGTCTTTGGGCGCGTATGTGCTCGTTTATCCAGAATCTATCGTCTTCCTTTGGTATGGCAACAATATCCGCTCCGCAGACAAACTCATTTCCTAATAGACGGCGCATTATCCCGATATAAGCCATAAAATCCGGCATTGTCAAGTCGCCAGCTGGAGATGGAGATGGAGATTGAGATGAAGACGGAGATGGAGACGAAGAAGGTGGTCCAGCAGCAGCACGAGAAGAATCAGCAGCATCACGAGGAAACATAAGAGAAATGTGGATAAATGAAATAAACACATTTGATGCAATGGCCAAAAGATGCACAGAGATAGAGAGATTCCACAAAGGGCAAAGGGAAAAGGAAGTGGGTGGCGGTTGGCGGTGGGTCAAAATCCAGCCAACCGGGCAATAACCAAAGCACAATACTCAAATTGGCTGCTGGGAGCAAGGAGCAGGGAGATGGAATATGGGCGATGGAGCAGCAGCTTGTCTGGGTGTTTGAAGTTGCACGCAACCATTTCCTGTCCAACAAAAAAGGGAAAATGTGAGGCAGCCCAGCTAACAATAACAGGGCTGGCCCGTAACACTGCGAGAAAGTTAAGCTTGCTTTTTAAATCTTTTTAAAGAAAATTATAAAAAAATAAACTAACTAACTTAAATTGTTTAACTAGCAATTAGATATTCTTCTATAAGATTTATATTTTCTTCTAGTTTATTATATTTCTAACTGTTAGTTTTCCTAAACAGTTTTTATATCCAATTCTTGGCATGTACATACGAACCTTTTTCATTCCCGGCTTCGGCGGATGAGTCGCTCTGCCCTTCCGGCCGGGCAACCTCATCCGAATGCCCACTCCGCTCATGCTGGCGCAGTCTGCTGGATATCATTTTTGGCAAACGTAAAACTTTTTTAAATTGCGGCAAGGCGAGCACCAAATTTGCATTACCCTCCGCCCGATAGATCAACTCAATTTGGCGCAGTTCCATCGCCGCGGGCAGATCCAGCAGGGCGTGCAGATTCTTGGCGGTCCACTGTGGATGTAACTGGGGCTTTAGCCCGATTCCTGGGGAGCGAGGCTCCTCTCGTACAGCTGTCATGGCTAGTGTGCGGGTGTTTTTGGTTCGTTGCCGTTCGTTGTCAAAATGCAACTGGCGCCCTCAGAAGCCGTCTCCCTCTGACCTCTGACCCCTGACTCCTGATGACCCCTCCCTCGGTCTGCGGCGCGCCAGTGTTGATGATTGCCGATTGTGGCTTGTTGTGGTCGAGTTCTGCGGCTTTACTATTGTTATTGTTTCTGCTTTTGCTCCTGCTGCTGCTGATGCCGCTATGGCTGCGGCTGTGAGTCCTCCGTCCTTGCTATTTGTCCTGTCGTGGGCGCATTTATGTACATTTATTGACCGGCGATAAGATGTAGCAGCAGCCAGGAAGTCGTCGCCGGCTCAAAAGTCAGGTCACCAGGCGCTGTAACACAGTAGAGAGTTTTTTTATTGAAATTTTTTGGTTATATTGAAAATAATTTACCCAAGTATTTTTTCAACACATTAAATACTTACTTAAATAATATATTTGAATTTAAAGCAAACTTAAGCTCTGTTTTTGCTGTGTTCTTAAGAAATCTTTTTTAATTAATCAAAACATAACTATTTGATTTGAGGTTTTATAACATATTTGTTTTATTTTAGATTTAATAATAGCACAAAGTTAGTCAACTAACATAATACCTTTAATAAAATGTTTTAAAAACATATAATATATAGCTAAAGAATTATGTACTAATTTATTAAGTAACAAGTTTATTTAATAATATTGGATGTTATTTACTTGAATAATCCTTCCGAAACCTCTCTTACTCGCCACTAAAATAGGATCCTTTAAAGGATCTGCAAAGGATTTTAAGATTCCGTCTTTTAAAACACGTTGATTGCTTGTTTTATTGAAGTTTATAACTTAGCTTTAAGATCCAAGTTTGATTTTTCTGTTTAATTACATTTAAACATAATTATTTGTAATTTAACGAGTAAGTTTTACCACCATTATCGAAATGCCGCTTTTTTAAACGAAAATATATTTACTTTTTCAGAACAGCTAATCAGCTGAGATCATTTCCAGTGTGTGCACACTAGGAAAGAAAAATTATTCAATTCCAAAGTTTTAGTATTTTTATGACAATGTGACCCTTCCAAACAAAGTGCGCCATTTTCAAATAAGAAGGTGAAAACAACATAGTTGATATTTAAGTTTTAAGTCATTTTTTATTTGCTTAGATTATTTTTTGTGCCTGATCCTTAGTTTTTGCGAATGTACTGAGAGCGATCGGTCTGAATCAGTGTGTGTCCGCCAGCATTGATGACTTGGGTACCTAATCAAAATTAATCAGATAAGTGAAAAGCGCTGATAAGTCTGTCAAAATATGTGCTTACCGGCCTCCGCCGTCGCCAAAGCCGCAATCAAGGCAAAGAAAAAGCCGCAGATCTTCAGACAGTTCATGTTTACAGAGTGAATACAAGTTCTACTTTGATTAGCGATTTGTGGGAACACCGCTTATATAGCTCAATCAGATGCAGTGAGCGCCAGCTGGGGGCTTGGAAATCAGGAATTTCCAATGGCAATCAAATTCCCCAGGGTCACGCTCGGGAATCGAGCGGGATCTTAGCTGATAATGCGCGTGTAGCCGATGTGCCGGAATACTAATGAATGCATACACGAGAGTAATTCTTTTTGAAGGTGTGAATTGATTTTGATTCGGATTGACTATGTACTTGTCACCATTATACCTGTGTGCATGCTTTATAATGTTACACCTTAATAATGTTTAAATATAAAACTAACTAATCTATATAAAATTTTAGAAAAATTATACACAAAAACATATTCTTCAATTTGTTGTCTATTATAAATTCAAAAATTATTTTATTTAATTTCTCGTTTAATTTAAAAAGTTAGAAAAAAATACGAAATAAATATTTTGTAATTAGGGGACTAAAACTAATAAAGCGTAACATAATTACAATCAACAAAATTTTAAATTTAAAAATCTATATTTTTTTGTAAGTTTAAGGTTTACTTTCTTAACATGTAATAAAAAACTATTTAAGAAGCTTAGTCCTTTAATAGCAAAAATAGTGCTGTCTTTCCATACTTTGAAAATAGAGATAAATTGTAGAAGTTCGAACTCCCATGTCTCACGAACTCTATTAAGGCAAAACTTTGATAAGCTTTTATATCTTGACCTTTCGCAACGCCTACGAAATCAATCTTGATTGCTTGAAATGAAAAGCGCACCTTACCAGTGGGGAAAATCATTTGCAATAAAATGTTTATTGTTTTCTGCTTAAGATATGCATTTTGAGAATACCAAGAATTTCCTAATAAAAACGTTTAATAACCTCTTTCGGGAGAAACTCCGCAAAAAGGGTATTGTAAACAAACTAAACTGGATTGCATACTGCGCTGTTGGCATCGAGTTCCAGTTATTCTAATAGTCGTTAGTCTACGTAGTCGAGTGTCAATAACCAGCATTAATTGAATTGCGTAGAAAACCCCGACAGGTTCTCGCTTCACATGAATCGCATTGCATCAACAACAATCGGTTCTCTGTCTGACGAGCTGAGAGATTAGCCGATCTTTTAACCTGTGCAATCCCCCAGGTTGGAATTGCCCAGATTCGATTGCTGAACGTTCGACTATAAAAGAGCTCCCGATCTTCAGTGGGGCATCAGTATCTCAGTCGTACTACAAAGCCCAACAAACCTCAAAAACCAACATGAAGTTCTTCCAAGCCGCCGCCCTCCTCCTGGCCATGTTCGCTGCCCTGGCTAATGCCGAGCCTGTTCCCCAACGTAAGTTAAAACTTTATTACAAGACTTAAATTTAATTATTAATAACTATTTTCGAATATCATATAATATTACAGCTGGAACCGTGCTTATCCAGACCGACAACACCCAGTACATTCGCACCGGTTAGAACTGGAGAAAGATGTTAGCTTATGTGCCTTCCTATTTGAGTTTTAAATAAAAAATACTAAACGGAAATATTTTTGTGTTTAAATTATTAGTTTAACACAGGAATTTAATTCACACAAATTTCAGAGGGTAACAGGTTAATCGTAATCAATTTGGATCGAATTTGTGATTACCCCTAGTAAAAATGTCGAACCCCCCTAAACCTATAGAACAGCAAGACTTCCGTTAGCATCATCACTTAAGTAAAACCTAAGAAGTCTTGAAAATTGGTTAATAATGCTAGTTTTACATATAAATTTGAATAATTCTTTCATTAAAAAGGGGAAAAAAATGCTCGTGATATTTGGCTGCTTACATAATTGCATTTGCATTCATTGTGTAAAGCAATCAAGTACTTTAAAAAGATTATATATTAAGATTATTTTAAGAGAGCAATCATATTACCCCTTTAACCTGAGTAGCCTCAGAGGTTGTTCAGATAATGGAGTGAACGTTTAACTATAAGAAAGCTTCTGATCTGCATAGAAGCCTCATTACACAGAAGGCAATCAAACGCCACCGAAATCAAGATGAAGCTCTTCCAAGTCGCTGTCATTCTTCTGGTCATGCTCGCTGCCCTGGGAAATGCTAAACCCGATCCCCAACGTAAGTGCAAGCCCTCAAAACTGTTCATAAAATATGAATAATTTTTTATAAAATTTTGTTAAGCCAGGAACTAGTTTATCAAATAGTTGATAGTCGTTACAGGCTCCGCAACGGTTAGGGCTTTAAATTCTCATTGAGGTAATGAACCTTAAAAAAGTAATCAGATTTTAAAATCAAAACAAGTCACAAATAAAAGCTTAAGGCACGTGCAATATAATGTTAATGTTTATACGAGTGAAAAATAAAAACTTTTTCATATCTTGTTTAAAAATTGATAAATAAAACGTGGAAGCAGCTCTTTTAACAGATCGCATAGAATGCATTTCAATCACTACTATAAGGAATATTTTAAAAAGACAACAACCTTTTAATTTAAATAAACAGAGATAATGCATGAAAAAAGTTTCATTTAGTAAATTAATATATAGCAGAAATCCAATTAGCCTATATAAGCTAAGCTGAACGAGATTTCTGCGGCACAACGGAATATATAAACAAACTGTGAAGGAATTTTAGCTTTAACAAGTCGAAGTATAAATACTCTTTCAACACATCTATGAAAACCCTGTTGTTTTTAGGTTGATGATATACAAAACTGTAACTAACGTTAAAGTACCCCCTGCTAGGGTGTAAAACTGGTTCAGTTGACTTATTTTCATAAACAAAAAGTTGGGCATTTGCTGACTGATCAATCGACACGTGCAAATTAATGGTAATTAAAGCAAACACAAACAATTTGTAATCGCTGTTTTTGATATTAATCCTAAAACCATAAAAAAGGGAGAATGTTTCTTTATTTAAAGTTATTCTTCTTGATTGCTTTGTTTTTGTCTTAAACTGATTGACAGCGAATCTATGGCTGTCACAGATTCAAACCCATCGCTTGAGTCTAGACATGTGCATCTAGTATAGGACCAACTTGTTATTCGCATCTAAATGGAAATTGTTTGGAGCTTGTTTTAATTGTTTGACTTGCAAACTGCTGACGGCTAAGCGGCAACGATGGGCTGAACTGGGCTAGATGGCTGTTTGGATGTGCCATTTGGACAGGAATTGTGGCCACTCGAAAACAACAGTCCATATTTATATATATGTATAAAGGATGCCCGACCGGCCCAACTTGAAACAATTTACCAAGCGAAAACTATTTGGTTGTCCTGTTTCAGCCACTGCCTCAGTTTCAGTTTTCAATTTTGAGCTACTTTTGCTGGGCCATTGTTTTACTTTGTGCCACGCCCACCAACAGCTCCGCCTCTATATGGTTCGTTACATCAACAATTATTTTAAACTTTCGCCGCAAATATTTCCTTCGCTGGTTTTACGCCTGAAATAAATCGTAATAGGAGTTGCCAGTTCAAAATGTCTGCCGGCGACAAGGTGGGGCTGTGGAGTAAATATATACTAAATATATATATAATCTTGAACCGGACCACACCGGATCTGTTCCCCGAGCTAATCCTTTTGATATTCGTGCGAAGGAATTCCGTAGCCAGGAACAATTTGCGCCGCTTTTGAAGTAGCCAACTATGCTGGCCCCCAGTCGGTTCCTTTTGCGGTGGATGTGGGTGATGCTGGGCCAGTCAATAAGCGAATACCACGCTTCCTTCCTTTCTTCCTGCTGATCCCTCCCTCACTCGAACCCGGATCCGGAATTCACCGATGGATTCGCTTTTGGGCCAAAACGTTCAGCTTCAGGTTTCCCAGGCTTTCTGTTCAAAGCGATTTTTGACCGTAACTTTTAGCCAATCAGTATTCGATTCCCCTTTTTGGCCCGGCGGGCGTTTATTGAAAATTAATTTCGACAATTTTCGCAACTGTTTTAGCATTTGCAGCTGCGAGGCATTCTCCGATTTTCTCCCCTGCCCAACACGAAATGAACAAATTCCCCAGGACTCGCTCGTGCCTGGCCAGCACACTCCCTTTTGCACTTTGACTATTTGCCTGGCTGCACCTGCAGACAGTCGGTCAAATAGGCAAATAGTTGGCCAGGATCCGGAGTCAAAGGCTGATGGACTAACTGACTGCCTGGCTGACTGACTACCCATGGGGTGCGAATCACGAACAGAATGGCTCAAATTGCTCCTCGAGGACTGAGGACTCTCGAACTCACCGCATTTCCATGCACGTCGCACAGCTTTAAAGTTCCAAGTCTGAAACGTAGTGAATTGCAGAGCAGAGCACGTCGACAAAGCTTACTTTTATCGCCAGTCTGCGTAACGATTTTAAAATTTTCTCATACAGATGACAGGATTTTTTGAAAAAATTAGCAACTTTTTGTAAAAACTAGGAAAATTCAAAACTGAAATAAGACTCCAACTTTTACCAGTCCTTGGGAGGAAAAAAGCCTTTATTTAATATATTTAAAATTTATAAAGTATTTGTATTTTGTATATCGGCTCCTCAGTAGTTAAAATATACACAACGATGGCCCAACGGCTGTTCTGGACGCCCATTGCTCGTCATCCTTTTGCCATCCTCTCGATAAAGGGCTGCAAACTGGGCCAATTGAAGAGAATTGACGTTGAAGATCGCCTTGTTGATAAACCAGGTGGTGGCCACAGTCATCTCCCCATTGTCGTAGGTGCCATTGTAGGTGTAGTGACTTCCGGTGAATGGTCTAATTAGGAACCCCAGCTCGAAGGGTGGCAGCTCAATTGTAGATCCTGGGTGCAGGATCCACTTGAGGTGATCACAGATCTGCTTCAGCTCTTCGTTCTTGTAGGGAGAAATCTTGAACAGATAGGACAAGGTTAGGAATTCAAAAGTGCCATTTTGATTGAGACATCGATGAAGTGCCTGCATCTCCAGGCAGAACTTCTGGTTGCCAATCGAATGCTCGGATTGCAGGGTACCCCACTTGAAGATCGCCTCCACAAAGTAATATCTACCTTCCAGTTCAGCTCCGCTCAGGTAGGGCAAAAAGTTGATGGGAGTATAGACCCGCAAGATAACTGTATTCCCGTTATTTTGCAGAACAGTCGCCATCGGAAGATCCTCGTAGTGGGTCCATTGCAAAGGGGGATTGAGCCGCTTTCTCTGCACCACGTTCTCCGATATGTTGATGGGCGAAGGCTGGAGTTTCAGCATCGATTGAGTCCTCATGTTGGCCACCGTGTTGGCCACATCACGGAAGATCGTTCTTCCCGAATAAACATTCAGGATAAAGGCCAGAGCCATCGTGCTGCTGACCAGTATCATAATTACCCACGAATTCTCCGCCAGTTTCATCACAAGGCCGAAATAGTCTAGGAACTTCACCAAGAGGTGTTTAAATATGGGGACCAGCATTTCACCAAACTTTACAAATTAACAACTAGTTTATTTGAAAATGCCAATCAGGAAATTGAAATTGTTATCTGCGGGAAAAGGCTGTGGTAATTGTTGTTAAGACAGTAGTCAGTATTCTAAATTAATCAACAAATTGAAGGAGCTAAATAATACATTTTATGTAATTAAAATTGAAGTGGTATTGTTTGGGCAAAAACACAGTCAAACAATTAATCTTGATATAGTATCATTATTGTCTTTGCAAACACTGAAAGCAATATTTTGAATAATTTCTATACTTTTATTCTTCCATTAATGTTTTTGCCTAACTCTTAAAAACCCTTTGATTAACATTTGTGAATGCCATTTGCAGAAGAGCCCGCAGAAATAAATGAAATTTAAAGACAGAAAAACTATAAAAAAGCTAATAAAGTTTTTATAAATTATGTCAACTGATTTGAAAACGCTTATTTATCGCAAAAGCAGACCACACTGGGCACTTTTCCTTTCAATCTGACAAAGAGCAACCTCAATGCTGCCTGGACTTGAAGTTCCCAACAAAGGGTCATCCATCGGAAATCAGATGCAAGAGGCTTTGATCCAATGCTCAGTTTACCCTTTCAATTAGGCGGCTCATTGCCTGGCTTAGTAATCAACTAATTACTCAACAGGCTGTTCAGTACCCAGTACCCGTCACTTTGAGAAATGAATATTGGTCATGAGCATAATCTAATCAAAACTTGGACTGCATGGCGGCTGAAGTGCAGTGTTCGGATATTGGCCAAGGAATCCCAGGAGGGGGCTGCCACTAGAAGTGGGTCGAAATATTAATTTGCTAGGATAGGTCAGTTACACTTGTGACGGGCACATTTACGACCATGTGCGTCCATGACTAGGCCGGCTCTGAAGTTTTGTTGCTCCAAAGTGAGCCATTCAGGGCACACGAAATTGTGACCCCCCAAAGGCCATGAATGTGGGATCCTTTTGTTTGGGCCACGTTGGATGCACTGGAAGCGCTGAGCCATAAAGCAGATAGGCCCAGGACAAGGACAGGGGACACACAACGATGTCGGTTTATGGGGCTTTGTGCCAGGGCACTAACAAACACGGCCACGCACACGGCCATCCAGGATGGCAACTCGAATAAATACCTAGCAAACACAGGACTCGTGCTCCTGGGAGGCGGTGTGGCGGGGCATCCTGCATCCTGGCTGCCAAAGTTCTCGGCGCGTGCTTCATAAAATAGTCATAATGCATGTTTTTATGAAATATGAAGTGGCCAAAAAGTTGCTGCCCAAGCAAAAACCCAATGAAACCAAACCCGAGACCTCCGCACCTCCGGCGTCTATTTGGCCTATTTGGTGCATAAGCCAAAACCAAAATGTAAATATTTTGCCATGTAATTATTTGTATACAGGACTCGAATCCGACGTCCCGCTCTCCATTTTATGAGTGTGTGTGTGTGTGTGTTTATGCAGAGTCTTAAATGTATTAGTGAGGCCATTAAAAGTTGCCAAGTCTCTAAGGAGAGCAAACCGAAGAAGTGAAATTGCATTGGGATTTTGGTCTTGGCTTTGGCTTCCATAAAATAATCATCTATTGCCAGGAGCATCGTTTTGGCGAAAGGATTCAAGATTTTTGACTGTTTAAAAAGTCTGATCGCTATATAAGGTAGACAACCTTTGCTTTAAATGTAACTAAGATAAATCTTAAACTGAACAGGAGTATACTTTATAGGGCCTAAAACGCTTTTTATCCAAATTTACCAGCCATGAAACGGGTATAAAATTTAAAACAACATTTCGTTCACCCTTTAAAAATACACTTTGGCATGAGCTTTATTGCAGCTTTTCTGCTACAGGGCTAAAATGTTGAATTTTCGTTTGTTGTGGTCATAGGTAAAGTTGTTTACAAAAGGGGGCCGGGATATGTATTAAGAGTGCCGACCTTTTGCGATTGACAGGCTCATGGTTTTACGCTCAGCTGAAACGGTTTTACGGTTTTACAGTGAGCTGTGGCTACTGTCAATATTAACTGCTGCCCAGTAATTAAATTGAGACCATGGCAGGCACACAAAAACGGGCGCAAATTATTGCCCCATGTTGCAGCTTTCGTTTATGGACCACCCAAAAGCTTGTCATTGGCACTCAAGGGGAGGGATATCGTAGACTGCTGTTCAGTTTGGGCTGGCGATAACTTTTGACTTCGCAACACACAAATATGGCTGCAACGAGGTGAGTTGACATAAGTAGGAGCATAATAACGAATTTATTGTCCCACTTATTTCCACTCTCCTCCTGGAAAAATGTATATTCAGGCAACTTTTATCGCTGCCGAAACGCAAACTTTCCCGGTTAAAAAGCAGCGCCTGATTTGGCAAGTGCCAGGAAGTTGGTAACTTACTTTCTTTCCTCCCTCAGCGATGTTCGAACTGCATTAGCAAATCAATGCGATATCGGGAAACTGGGGGTTTCAGCCAGGTATTTCGACTTTTAAGCACAAAACAATTCAAACGAATAATTATCAAAGTTTTAATTTGATAGCATTTTACAGGTTGCTGTGAGAAAATCCTTTTTTCTTTCTTACACTTTGAAAATTTCATAAATCTTGTTAATCCTCTCAAAAGCTTCCATTTTTGAAAAGTATTAGCTATTAAATTCATAATATAATTATTTTTTTTCAGTTTGAATATATTCTTCGTCTACATTTTAACGTTTAAGTGTCATTTTACCAAGAAATTTACCTTTTGGCCTTTTGCCGTTGGTCCTTGATTAACGTTTTGTCTCATTTCGCTTCCAATGAAATTGGCCTTGCTCCCGGGCTGTTTGAGCAGCAAATGCTATCCAATTTCAGCTGCAAAGAGTTATTAATCCCGAATGCCACTCCCCATTTCCATCGTAGCCTCGCTCAGTGAAATTGCTTGTTTACTTGGAATTATGCAAATTTCAGCGCAATCACAGAAGTGATGAGGCCAAATGACAAATACCACGCCCATCCCCGTGTCCTCCGATTTCATGGCCAGTTGCATTTCATCTCTAAGCCCGTTCCTGTAACTAAAATCCCCTTAAGTGCTTGCTTTGGCTGGAAATTGAAAAGAAATTATTACAACTTGTATTTGCATTTCGCCGGCTGGACTTCACCGGAGGTCCTGCAAGAGGATGAGAAGGGGTTGTGGGTTTTTTTTTTGACCGCCTCGGGGATTCAATGCTAAAAGTTTTCGGGTTTTTCGGGCAACAAAAGTCAAGGCATCGGACCAAAACCGGGAAATGTATGCAGTGTAGTACGTACAGTGCAGAGAGGAATTTATTTCCCTTTTGGCCCTCCGTTGATAACTGCGATGGATCTGGCTCGTCCTTTCGCAGGACTTGTTATTAAAAAACTTTCGCCGAGTGCGTCGCATGTTTGGTTCTACTTCTACTCGGCTATTTTCCATCTTATTTTCCTTGCTCGCCGGCGAAAGTTGAAGTTCAAAATTAAAAGGATTAGCAAAAGGGCGAAGGGATGCAACGGGGACCAAAAACAACTTTGTAGTCTATTTAATGCTAAGGTTATTTTTTCGGCACGCAAATTTGGGCAGGAAGGAAAGTTTTTTGATTGCAAACTTTCAATGTGACTGCAGCGAGTTTTTTCTTTAGCTAAAAATGAAGAGGGTGCAACTTATTGAGGGCCCAGCCCAAGCAATTTTTTGCACCTTAAGTGGATCGGAGATTGTTCTGCCTGCCTGCCAAATGAAATCTAATTCAATTTCTAATAATACCCCAAGGAGACTGGGACATAACTTTGCCAAGACTTGCTTTTGTGTTGCTCGAAACTTTTTGCACCCCTGCCATATGTGTGTGTTTTTGTTCGGGTCTCGAAATTGAAAAGCAAAACTTGGCCTGCAGTTGAGCCAATGGAAACTGCATTTGTATACAATGCATTCGAGCTGTCCAAAGTTCAGGGTCCTTCTCTGGTGGCTCTGCGTGTGTGTGTGTGTGTCGCATCAGGCTGTCAACACTTTGCCTTTGAATCGAGCTCCGGGATTCGAATCGAGCGAGCACTTTCTTTACCGCTCCCCCGACCTTTTGTTGTTGTTTATCGGAGCGCAAAAGTTTGCGATGGAAGCTGCAAAGTTTGAAGAACTTTTCCTGCCCCACGTCGGTAAGCTGCAACAGCAAAAACTATTAAAAGTGTATCGACTCATTGGAGCTATGGCTATTTTTTAAGCCAAGCTTATCGAATTACACGTTCGACATGGGACCGAGAAGGCAGCTAAGTGATAACCGTGTTTATGCCACTTCAGTGTTTCATTTGTCTATGCTGTGCAACTTGCCACGGGGACAGATATAAAAAAGTACCAAGTCAATGCACTTGTAGAAGACTTTAAGTATTCGACTGCGTTACTAGCCATAAAATATAGTGCAAATAGGGAAATATGTGGTATATTTTGTCATACCTTTGATTTCACAAAGATTTTCCTATATTTCTTAGTCTAAAGTTTCTCTCTAAGTTTCAAAGTGTAACTTACTCTCTTAGCAGAATTTTTGTCTGTGCAGGAATGACTGCAAATCAATGACAAAATGGAAAGGTGCAAGTGCCGGGCATAAACCATTTTGCATGCCAACTAACTGAGCCATCCGACGGAAGGCCGTTATGCTAGGACATGGCTCCTGCAGTTTGTCGATGACTCCCAGACAACTGCCATGGTTGTCCTAGAGATTGGAGAATGAACCATGGCGAACGGAGAGCTAGGAAGGAGATGGCCAACGGGAGAACTGGTCATGTCAATGGACGCAAAGTGTCCCTGGCCCTGCTACGTGACTGACATTAAGTATTGTCGGTGCCCTTCCTTTTCGTTTTTTCCATCTTTTCGCTAGCCACGTTTATTACTCTTGCAAAAATCATGCAAATGTCCTGGCCAAAGGATGCCAGGCCCAGCTTATGGTCGATTTCGAGCAAAGCAAAGTGTCCTCTAATGGTAATGGGTCCTAAATGCGCCTTTCAACCTTGCCAGCTGTTGGATCCTCTGGATCTCCGGCCGGGGACCGTTCGGGAAGTGCCAAAGCGAAAATAATGTGTCAAAACATTAAAGGGGGTCCAAAGAGACACTCAATTTGAGTGCCCAGCAGTGGTAGCAGCCAAAGCTCAAAAGTAAATTCTGAGAAATGCTACAAAGTGTCTGGAACATCTTCAAGGTTATCATAAAGTTATACCATAACTATTTCTACTTAGATATAAGATTTGAAGAAACTAATATTTTTTTAATCTTTGAGCCCCGAACTCATTGAAATTTCACTTCTGCCAAGGCGACTCTCATCCTTGAAGCAGCGACAATCAATTCGCTATCTTGGCCTTTCCCACTCCGACATTACCATTTCCAATCCCAACACAATTTCATTTACATTTTATTCAGCAATTCTCTCATTTCTTCTAGAGCACTACTTTTTTTTAGCAGAGCAGACTATGCGCGATTTTCAATGAGGAAAACAAATAATTTTCCTTCTTTCATTTGCAGCATTTGCACTGAAGCTGATGCTTTGCGATTCGCTTTCCAATTGCCCTTGGCGGTGGAAACAACAGTGGGAACTGTGGTCAATTTAGATTTTATTTTAAGGGGTAGGACTTGGGTAATATAGATCCATCTTGTCTTGTCTTGCCTTGGTTAAGCCAAATGGAAATATGTTTTGTTTTAGTGTTTCTTTTACTTATTGCCAAAAATAAGAATATATATATCTGCTAACTAAGGAGCAGTTGTCGAATCCCATCTCCAATCCAATCGAATCTCCATTATTCCCCCATTGTAAAGTTTACCAATAAACCATGTCTGAAAGGCCATCAGGATCGACCTTCTTGTTTGAAACTACCTTATTAATCGCAAGTTGATTGGAAATTGCTCCCACCGTGCAGTGGTTGTGACATTCCGATCCACTGCGGTGGATCCACCGTGAGGTCCTTTTGCCCAGGACGCCATCGCCACTCGCTGTGGAATCCTTCTCTGCTGGTGGCATTAATATGCAAAGTATGATATGCTGTTGAGCTGCGATTTGTTGCACTCGATTGGGCGAGCTTAAATTTACATGCAAATATTGAAACGCAAGCCACGTGCCACATAGCGTCGAAAGGATTTCAGGGAGGGCGGGGAGGCAAGGACAACGGGACAGGACAAATATTTGCAGTTCATTAATGTTGTGCTAGCGAGTGTCATTGAAATTGGATTTGTCAAACCTAATCGCATTATTATTTGAGCACTGTCAGTGCGACTTGTGGCACATTCCATCTGCTAAGGCAGCTGGAAACTTAACACTTGACTAGACCACATATATGCCACTTTTTGCACTTCAAGAAAATTCTATGAAGATTTTGTTTTTTTCATAAGTTTCATAGGGTTAAGTAAACCCTTTTGGGTACTTTACCTTTTAAGGAAAATTAAGTTAACCAATCTTACCTCATTCTTAGTAAAAGGTGTAATTTTTCCATGAAACCGTATTTCTGACTGTGGAGCACTCGCATTGCATTTCAATTAGAGGGGCACGTGTGTCGCCCTCGTCCAGGCCCGCATTTGACATTGCCACCCGGATCGGCCAAGTGGAAGTAGTCACCTGGCAGCGGAGAAGCGCGTGCCTGGCCAAGTTAAGCGGCACACGACCTGCGGGCAGTGCAACAATTGTTACCTGTTGCTGGGACACGTGTGCATTAATCCACTTGGAGGAGGAACGGAGGGAAAGGCGGGATGTCGGTGTAAAAGAGGTAACTTGCTGGTTTTTTCCACACCCCTTCTGGCTGTGACTTAATCCGAGGTGCGAAAATGCAATGAACTCGGGAAATATGCCTCGGCATCAATGGATATTCATTCGAATGCCTAGCATGTGCCGCTTAGCCCTGGATTTGCATGGGATAAAAAAGCATTTCGATATGCTGAGCTGGAAGTTATTGCATATATTGAAATATATCAGGAGGCATGTGAGGCATTCGAGCGTCTGGAATTTCACTGCGTTTCAGGAAAGAGGAGGCTGTAGTTCATCAGCAGGTAGCAAGGATACACAGGATGCGCTTTGTTCCCAGGCAACCAACCAGACAATTGGCCAGGCCTTTACTGCACTAAACTGGCCAAAGTCCGTGTAAATCCCGGGGCCCTAATGTGTTCCTCATGGACTATTGAACCAAGCTAACCAACATACGGCTAATAGGATTGCCGAAACCTGGTCTGAGCTCTGAATCCTGAACTCAGAATCGAAATCCTGTATCATGAATGGAGCCTTCAGGTCGAGGAAGTTGTCTAATCTGTGAGCGCTCGCCTTACGCTTTTGTAGCTTACACTCGCATTTGCATTTGCATCTGAATGCAATTTTAATTATACAATGCCTCCGGTAGGGTTCTCTATCTGCAACCTGTCTTTGTCCGTGTGCCACGACTGTGATTGTGCTGGTAGTGGTGATGGTGTGTGGGTGTGGGTGGCGGTGGCCCGTTCGTTATCCTTATGTTTTATGCATGCGGCAACTGCGCGTTAACC